AACACTATGCATACATTGTTTACACTTTGTCAAAATCTTCTATACTCTGTATACTTTTTACTGCATGCTTTAATAAGAAGCAATGAAAGATATATGACAAACTTACTTATACGTCATAAATTATTTGAAAACATAAATATTCAAAATAACTAAAAATAAATTTTGCTAATGATACATTATCTCTTATGCTGTAAAATTACAGACTGTAAAATGAAAAAATGTATGCAATACATTAATGAATATAAAAAATTATAGAGTATCAGATTCGTTATGTAGAATAGTATTATGATAATCTAAAATTTTATAAATGTAATGTGAAAGAATTATAAAGTATTTAAATAAATTTTTACTGGACCACAAGAGCAATACAGTATGTTAATTGCTATAGGAATGTATATTAATAATATGATACATATATTATGTACATATCTTAATATGTTAAATTTCTACAATATTGTAGTTAATGTGAAAGTTTAAGTACAAAATTATATATGTCAAATAAAGTTTTAGTATGTAATATTACAAATGTGCGATTGATTTACCATTTTATATGATCAAAGTTACAAAAAACTTAATATTATTTGAAGCCTATTTCACTTTACGATATGACTTGCTACTCGTGAAATTATGTTTCTATGTATGTATATATGCAATGTATATATGTACAAAGCATTTATGATTATACATCATTATGGTATTGGTAAATATTTAATTTTTCAGCTAGTTAAAATTTTCAATAACTGCATTTTATTTATTAATAAAAACATATGCATCTTTCTATGAAAGCTTTTAAATTTACTATATCTGCTTTTAAATAATTAAAAGATCATGAGTAATATAGTCATTGTATATAAATTTCTTTTACAAATATTACATTAATGAATTATCTTTATCTCAATTCGTTGAATACAAGCAGCCTATTAATTTAATATTTTGACATATTATTCGAATATACATACTATCACCATTTCTTTACGGAGTTACATACAAAACAAATAAAAATACCAAAAAGATATTTATAATACATTAAAAAAATAATGTAAACTTTATTAATCATTAAATCTCTCATAACATGAATGAAGTTCATAACAAAAGAATAACCTTAACTTGGTAGACTTTAAACAAATTCTTTTTATATTATTATAACTATAATACAAATGCATATTTTAAGGCATGCAATACTTACAAACGTTATGTAAAATAAAAAATGGAAAAGAATTCAAAAATGTTATGGTTATAGTAATGATATTTGTAATCATAACTTATATTGTAACAAAGCAAAGAATTTTCTTTGTTCAAAAAAGCAAAATATTTTTCTCAATGATAACAAAACTGTAAAGAGTTTTTTCCTTACGTTAAAATACATTCAACAAAAGTTTATGACCTGCTATTGTAAATTTTTATATAACTTAAACAAAATATCAAATTTTCAGAACAATCATACTGATTGTGATTTGTATATTTAACAACATATAGTTGCAACCATTTTTAATCCATTTTTAATTATTAATCTACATAAATTAATAGATTTCTTTTTAAATTAAGAACTAATATGTATTTATACATAAATAATCTTTTTATATTTTTATATAAAATTGAAATACAGTGCAATTATTAACATAATAACAAAAAAATTATGCAGAAAACAATTTTTATGATCATTTATTTTTAATACTATTTTCAATAATCATATTTTCTAGCTAAAATTTCATAAATTTGACAAAGTATATACATATTTGTTTTTACTTTCATTATAACATTTAAAGCTGTATTTTATTCAAATTTACATTTATTAATTAAAAATGAATAGTCATTACATTATGTACCTTAACTCATTTAAAAACAATTTTGCGTAAAATATAAATACAAAAAATAAAATATGATTGAATTCCAAATATCAATTAATTGTTTGTGAATTTAATTATTAAATAATATTTTGCTGCTTTGGACAATAAAACTTAGAAACCATTATATTACTAATACCTTTTGTCCTCAATTCTATAATCACACATCAATTTAATCACAAAGAAAAATAAAATAACAGTTAAAAATATAAATACAACTTATGAATTGTATAAAGGTTATTTGCTTCGTGTTTATATAGTTTATTGAATTATTAAAAACTTAACAGTATATACTTACCTTTATAATAAAATATTAAAATTCTTGAAACAATGTATCAAAACTGCATCAAGTAACACCAATATAAACTATTTATGGACATGTTACACAGTATTGATGTGTATCCACAATTACAAAGCCATGTTGCACTAGTAACGTAGGAGATTAAATTCTTTCTGAATATTTCGAGACATATTCATTTTAATACATTTCTGACAAAACCACGTGGAAGAATAAAATACACTGGATCCTCGCACTTAATTCCACAGTTCGATAGAAATCTTACACAGCATTACGTTACAATTACCATTGATAAAGTAACGACAAAGATAGATGCTCAAACCCCATCATACTTTTTTAAAACTACCAACAGTTCCTCTAATGATATATGTATTGTTCTGAAGTTGACTATCAAAATGAACTTTTTTCTCTGATCTAACTTTATCGACTATATATAAAAAAATGTCTATTTTCCTTATTATAACTTTTACTTGCATATTTTATCATTTACAAAATTGTTTGTTTTGGTAGAACAGATTTTTCGTAAGAAATTATGAAATTTAAAATATAGTGTTCCTTTTTTTCTTAATTTACTAAAATAAATAAATATTTCTACACATTACATATCACTCTTTTCACTAATGTCTCAATGGTCTAAAGCTACTTAAAGTGTCAGTGTTTATTAACCTTTTAATAGTTGTCAGATTAATGTTAGCTATGTATAATAGGTAATCAACATTCAAAACAATAGGTTGTTCTATGATTCACCTACCCATGTTTATAGGGTGTTCTTAAATAATTCACCAACCGTTTTATATTTCTTTCTAAACCATATTTCATTTATTCAATAGTAAAATATTTATATTCTTTTTATATTTTAAGAAATATGTTATCTTTATACTTTCAATAATTTATAATTGTTATAACTATTAATTGATCATAATAAACGTGTTTGTTAATTAATGTATACATACAATAATTTGTTGTCAAAAAATATATTTTAAATTTATTTTAAAGATTAATAAGTTCAAATATCTATGTAATTCAAAAATAACATGAGCTTTTTATAGTCAATTTTGGTCTTACTCTTTTTCTTTCATTTATTTTCTGTCTCATTGATTTCTTTTTATAATGAATTTTGTTACCAAACGAAAATATTATCTACTTAAGAATAAACTAATAGGAGCTTTTTCCTATTAGTTTATTCTTTATATTTCAATTTATTTTTTTCCCTTATGACAAATTAATTTCTCGTATCATCTTTGGTCCCTTTCCAACTTCGGATATATTCGTGACCTATAGTTCTATTCTGTGTAGAATACTATGTTAGTCTTTTATCTATAGAAAATATTGGAACTCTCTATGTTTACAGTCAATTTAGCAAAGGATTGCAGGTAGAGGTGCATGAAAACACTGTTCATAGTTAAGTTAACTCAATGATTGCTGTGCAACTGATTTTTCTGAAAACATGAAAAGATACAATTTTCTCATTTAATACTGCATTACTGTCTTTACATTTGTCCTTAGCTACATATCTTAGATTAATTTTCTGGTGATTGTTTGGTTTAAAGCATAGGAAACTTAGCATAGTAAAGACTAGATTTTCTGTGGATCCTTAGAATTCTTTTATTAGCCCTGTAATCATTCCTGTTAGATTTATTTTTGGAATGTTCTATTACGTATTTTTTCTTACTATTTTATATTTTTCATTCACAAACTTATCCTTCAGAATCGCTTTTTTTTTAAATTCTTTTCTTTCAACTCATTATTTTCTTCTGATTATTTTTGTTTTTCTCCTCTCTACTCCTCTTACCTTTTATATTTCTCTTCTGTTTACATTAATTAATACCTTATTTGTTGTTTAGACGAGAACCTATTTTTTACCTTTTTGGAACTAATATTTCATTTCATCTTGTATTATATGGCATGTTACATGATCCTCTCCTTTAATGATTTATATTTGAAAATATCATGCACTAAATATTATAAAAAAAAGGAAAAAGTTATAAGTATCAATTAAGAAATCCTATATACTTAAATTAATAAATTACTTTTTTAAATTTATTCATTTATTTTAATCTTTTCTATGCTTACATACATTATTTTATTTTTATACGTATTATACATCTACAAATACTTTAATTTAATACATGATAGCATGTCATAAACAGTATATTTTAAAATTGTTTAATTTTTAATACATATCACGATAATATAATAATTACTATTCTTTATATAATTCTTATACACATCACTACAAAATTATTAAAAAATACAAAAATATTTACTTCATGTACTAAGATAATATATAAAAACAAAATACATAATATAAATATTAAAATAAATCTATGTTTACCTGTTCATTCAAATATGTATCATGAATCTTTATTGTTAGGTTATGTATTTTTACTTCCACATTATTGATTTAACAAATATATGCAAATTGTGTATCTTGTGAACATTGTAATGTATACATTTGATTAGTTAGAATTAAATCTTACAGACTTCACCAAACATCATAATTCATATCTATCATATACGTATTTATATTAGAAGAATAATAGAAGATGAAAATGGCCTTGGCACATCCTCCATATATTATGAAAAAAAGAACTAAAATTAAAAAGATTCCTAAATCCTGAAATATAATTGTTATATATATATAGATATATATATAGTAATGCTCTATTTTTAATTTACATAGTATTTATGTTTATAAATCTTTATTAACATTACATTATTAAATAGAAGTTTGATAAAATTGTAAAGTCGAAAAAAATGTACTCAACCAATCAATTCTCTTTATTTACTGTCTGAAGTTCTGTAGTTTCAATGTTACCATGCAAATTTCTAAAACTGTTGGTAATGGTGATGTAAAATGTCTGATAATATATAGTTCACTGACATCTTAAATTTAATGTTTACACTTGTTAATTGTGTTCATGTATTTACATGAATTGATTTTTGAATTTTATGAAGCTTTACTAGCTAAATGTATACACTGCATAGGATTTATAATATGTAATTAGTAATTATACTAAATTTGGAAAATTACACTCAAAAATGAATTTGACAGTTGCTTTGAAGTTTTACATTACACGAATGACAGAGGAAAGTGGACCTGGTATGAAAGTTCTTTTAATGGATAAACAAACGGTAAATAAAATTCTGTTTAAATAACATTTCCTATTTATTAATATCCAAAACAATTAAACTTAAGTGCTCATAATTACAAGGTTATAAGATATTCATCACATTTTGCACACAAACATTTACATATATATATTTTTTTAACATTAAATTCAGTAAGACACTGTTTAACACTATCTGATTTGATTAACATTGTTCTTTTTCAAATAAGATGTTTTGTATATATGTATATTATGTATATTTATAAGCTAATATAAAAATATCTAGAAACTAAAGTAAATCTTTCATATTCTTAATTGGATGTTTCCTTGTCCCTATTTATCTTGTGCTAAGATGACCTCATTTAATACTATTTTGTTTAATGCTTTATTTATTAAAAACAGATCTCGAGTATTAAGTATGATATCATTATATTAAAAAAATCAAATGAAACTTGTCTATAATAATGGTATTTGCTTTATTTAGTACATGGAAGTTTTATAACACTTTTGCTTTTGATTTCTTTTTGTAATTTCATACAAAAAAATATTTTATATTCACATGTTTACGAAAGTAAATGAAAACCATTATACATTCAAAGAACATGATAAAAATGTAACAGAATTTCTTAAAATATAAATACATGAAATATATTCCATTCTACTTCGATGAGAAAAATATATAATTATAATGAATATTTTTCTAATTCAGCAATGAAAAAGTATACAAGACTAATAAAAGACATTAAAGTTGTTAACATAATTTCCTCAAAAGTCAGGAAACGTTAAAAAGAGTTCTCATAATCTACATTCATGTATTGGCATAATTAATTATAAGTAACAGACAAGAGATAATAATAATAAATAACAACAAATATTAAAAAGATTGTAGTTATATAATGGTGTAAAAAGTCTACATTGTACAAATTAGGAAACTAAAATTTGTTTGTTATACTGATTACAAATGTAAAATTCCAACTGAAAATAATTGAACATATTATCATTAAATAGTTCATAATATTCTTTTTATCTTTCAAACACTTAAATATATATTTCATTGTTTATAGTACCTATTAAGTACTTATTTATAGTACTTACTAAGCTATGAATTTTTCACTATGTAGATTATTACTAAATAATTATAACAAATATTACATTAAATGAAGTGTTTAACAAAATTATTTTGCTTCAAGGAATTATCTAGATATAATGGTAAATCTATTCATTATGCACTTGTACAAATATATATAAAACAATTTTGTAAAAATTTGTGTAATTTCAGACAAGTATAGTAAGTTTATTGTACAGCCAATCAGAAATATTTATGAAGGAAGTTTATCTATTTGAAAGAATTGACACAAATACACGTAATGAAGGTTTAAAGCATTTAAAATGTATAGTTTTCATAAGGCCAACCAAAGAAAATATTGAGATCCTTTGTAATGAATTACGATGTCCTAAATATGGCACCTATTATATTTGTAAGTAATCTTAATGAATTTTTATTTTTATGTTCACTATTAAAATATTTTAAGATAAAATAGGGAATTTATTTATAATGAATATATAAGTTGCAATTTATATATATTTCTAAAATATTCCTATTGATAGCTGTAATAAAAGAATTAACACTTTACAGTTCATAAATTGTATACCATATAAAGCAATAATATACAATAATTATTTTCATTTTTTTTTTGATCATATTGAATATAATATATTGATCATATTTCTTTTATTGTATGTATTCAAGTAGTTAACACTTACATAAAAGGATAATGTTTCCAAAAATTATAAATGATAATTCATTCATTTGAATGTAAAAACAACATATGTAGTTAGTGTATATGCTATTCCCCTTTATTTGAATTTACTATTTATTTCACTCGTTTAAATATTGGATACTTACAGTTAAATAGGTATTGCAATGCAGTAATATTATGAATTTTCTTCCATATGAAGATGGAAACAGTTATAACTGATTTATGAATTTGGACAAATAATTTTCAGTAAGTAACCATCAAAAGTTCCAACTGACATTCAATTCCATTTTTGTTAATTCACAACATTAAAAACTGAAAAATAATATAATATTAATAATAGAAATGATATCTAATTTTGACTTTAATATTTAAAAATATTATACTTGTCCTTATCTCTACATAAAGCAAAATAACTCTTCTTAACAAAGAGGTGAATTTCAATGTTATATTGTAAATAACGATAAACAACTTACAAATAGTAGTTATTTAAAAAAATAATTTTTAACTTTTGTGACCACAATTTATCTGCTATGGCCTAAAGTATTTGCACAATTATTTTATAAACTGGTACTTGTTGAATTGAGTTTTTAAACTATTAATGCATAATGTTCCAAATTTGGATCAAATTACTAAAATACAGAGTTATGGAATTTATGACAAAGACTGACAATTTTTAACATGTTAATTTAATATAACATAGAAAATGCATAAGTGAAAAGGCTATAATAATGTAATATAAATATAGTGAAAATATAAAAGCTAGATCTGAGTCAAAGACTGAAATATAAAAGTTATTTGTTGAAAGCTATAATACCTGTAAGTATGATAATACATACATATTGATATATACATATAACACTAATAAATGTACTAATTTTATTTAATTATAAAGATACTGATTTTGTATGATGTTGTATTGTGTGTTCAATAAATTTATTTTGAATTATTTTCATATTTTTTATTTTCCTTGTTTTCTTTTAACTAGAATTAAATTTGATGCATTATCTTTATTAATATTTGCAGATAAATATCATAAAACTGTAAAGTGTTAATAATAACAAAGTGTTAATATGCCATTCAGCAAAATATAACATCACTTTTTAGATTTCAGTAATATTATCGCAAAAGCTGATGTTAAACTCTTGGCTGAAAGTGATGAACAAGAAGTCGTGAGAGAAGTCCATGAATATTATGCTGATTATTTAGCTATTAGTCCACATTTATTTTCACTTGGCATAAATGGATGTTCACAAGGTAATGCATTTTCTATGATAGGAAAATTTTCTAAAAAACTGAAAAATCAATCTTAAGTCTATACTAGTAAATTTTTAATAGAAATCTAAACGAAGTATCCTTGTTGTATTGAAATTGATTCTTTTAACAAGTTATTAAATAGAAATACTTTATTTGTATAATTCATTAAGATAACGTATTTCCACTTTAAATCATTTTTAACTTGATAATTTTATTGATATATATTATTATTATTACGTATTAAAAAATCGAAAATATTTAATAAATGTATTAGTACTTCTATTTTTTATTTTTTTTTTCATGAAGGTTTATTATGGAATCCAGTGCATTTGCACAGAACCGTTTTAGGCATAATTTCTGTTCTATTATCAATTAAAAGATGTCCCTACATACGATATCAATGCAGTTCTGAAATGGCAAAAAGATTAGCAGAAAAAATACGGGAAGTACTGAGTAAGGAATCAAGTTCATTTGAGTTTAGACAGGATTCGAGTCCGATTTTACTTATACTCGACAGAAGAGATGATCCTGTTACACCCTTATTGAATCAATGGACTTATCAAGCAATGGTGCATGAATTATTAACTATTAATAATAACCGTGTTAATTTGTCACATGTGAAAGGTATTTCAAAGGAACTGAAGGAAGTTGTTCTTAGCGCAGAACATGACGAATTTTATGCAAATGTAAGATTATACTGCATTTCACTAAATAATTGTATGTGCTTTTTTAAACTAAAGCAAGTGATTTTGATAGAATTTATATCTCAACTTTGGTGAAATTGGACAAACAATAAAAGAATTGATGGATGAATTTCAAAAGAAAGCTAAAAAACACCAAAAAGTCGAAAGTATAGCCGACATGAAAAATTTTGTTGAAACTTATCCATTGTTTAAGAAACTTTCCGGAACTGTATCAAAACATGTAACAGTAGTCGGAGAACTTTCTTCCCTTGTAGAAAAACATAATTTATTAAGAGTATCAGAATTGGAACAAGAGCTTAGTTGTCAGAATGATCATTCTCTGCAGGTATAATTTAACATATTCTGTTATTAGCTGCTTATAACATCTAACTACACTTTTATTATTCCTATCACAGCTGCAAAAGATAAAAGAACTTATTAATAGTCAACAAATACGTGAAATTGATAGCGTGAGATTGGTAATGCTTTACGCGCTTCACTATGAGAAATATGCAAATAATGATATTAACGGTTTATTGAATTTATTAAAAAACAAAGGAATTTCAGAGAAATATATCAAGGTACGTTAGAATTAATGCAATTGTAATTAAGGATTTAATAACATTTTCGAAATTAATAACTTCAACATATCATTTCAGCTCGTGTATAACATATTAGAATATAGTGGAATTAATGCAAGACAAAGTAATTTATTCGACCGTGAAGCAGTAGCTAAAATTACCAAAAAATTATTCAAAGGTTTAAATGGTGTAGATAATATATATACTCAACACACACCTTTATTAAATGAAACACTTGAAGATTTAATAAAAGGAAGATTAAGCTTACAGACGTTTCCGTATCTTGGAAATACAATGGTATCCAAAAGGTACATTTTATATTCTTAATAAATATCTGAAATAAAAATTTTTGTTCACGTAAACATATTTAGTAATAAATGTAACGTTTACATAATGATACATATTGATAATAATTATGTATATTTCAGGCCACAAGATATCATTGTTTTTATGATTGGAGGAACTACTTATGAAGAAAGTTTAACTGTTTATAATTTAAATAAACAAAATTCAGGGATAAAAATTATTTTAGGTGGTACTACTATTCACAATTCCACAAGTTTCCTAGAGGAAATTCAACAAGCTACAGCGGGTATACTGTCAAAATACAAAAATAATAACAAATAAAACGCTAAATGTACATATTTTTGGTTAACATATTTATTTATACAATTTTGTGATTATAATTAATCATTACATAATTATATTCTTTGATAATAATTACATTTTGCTGATAACAACTTGAAAGAAAGAACTGTAGTAATAAGAAAAAATAAAAATTATATCAATCTTATCTTTAAAACTAATCTTTTCAATGAACTGACTTTATGTTTCCCGAATTATGTTATTCATCGTCAATTATATCTTTTGTACGTAAATCCGTAATTTCATCCTCCTTTATTGATACCTTCAAATCATAAATGACATTTTTAATATTAATGCAAATATGTATTGTAAATATTAATATTATGTGATTATAACTAAAGCACTACATAAATATATACATTTACTTAAGAGAATATTTCTAGAATACATTATATTTTTGTTAATTTTTAATACATAATTAAGTTAAAAAAATTGCTGTTTATTAAAATGCTATTTTATTTTACGTACACACAATTTCTTCTTATTTTAAATAAAAGGCCATAAATACAGAGAAAACCCTGAATTCTAACTAATTATTTTTTTTAAACGAATTCCCGCCAGCTTCCATTTCTAAAAACATTTACATAACAAATGATATTATTATTTCTAATGTTTCCAATTTTCAGTATTTAAACATACTTCATATAAATTGCTTTTTAATTTTAAATATAAACTTGATTTCTTATCATTTAAAATAAAAAGTAAAATTCTGTACTAGATGTAACATTATTGCAAGATTGTATTATGTATATGCAACTTCTTGTAATATTAAAATCAATTTTTATCAATAGTATTTTATGTATTTATACAATTATATCTAATATATAAAAGATTAAAATCTTATTTATAAAATATAAAATATTGTATGATGTAATAAGAAAAAATTAAACCGAAAGCATAGTTTCTATAATAATATAAAACTTAGTATATCAATATAGTTTGCAAACCTTTTATAGTACTAATTCAATTTATTTGATAAAATTAACATTATGTAAATATAATATTCTCAAGTACTCGATCGGATTTGCGGTAAATTATCATCTGTTATTTACCAGCTAATAAAATTTCTAAAGTTGGAATATATGTAGTATATACAAGATGGTTCATTTGAATAAAGCCAAATATTTGCTTTATTTATTGTTTTAGGAAAAAATTCTGGACAAAATTACATTATTTCAATGGGTATATGTAACAATGAAAATAATTTTCTTATAATCATTCTTCTATTGATTTTCAAGGACATTGATAGGACAGCAACAAGGGCAACACCCTCAGAAGTAGAAATGGTAAGGGTTGTGGACGGTTCATTGAAGTGAAAATAGCGATAACAACCGACTTTGGCTCATGAATCACCAATTGGTCATGCCTGTTTTAAGATATTAAATTTGACTAACTAATTAATTGGGTAATGTTATAACACTTTCAACCCCATTTTCAATATTATTTTGTAATGACTGGAAGATAACTAAATATTAGAATTGTGTGTCTGAAATATAATGAAGTTAATCTCCTATTGTTGAAGACCAATCCCTGCATTCTGTTTATAAAATTTCATTTCGAAATCTTTTTTTATGAGGTTCTCATCAAAATATAATATGGTTGTAAATATAAATTCGTAGCATTTAAATTTATTCTTCTGCCTGAGTTCATCATTAATACTTCTCATGTTTTAAAAACAATTAAACTTTTAAATTGTCTTAGCAATTAGATTTGATAATGAACAGATGCTACTCTGCCTGTTAACCTATTTGCATTACTTACAGAATATTCTGTATATCATAGCATATTATGTATTTAGTAACGGTTCTTATAGGTTCAAACTTCAACTGTACATTATGTGTTACCGTGAAAGACTGAAATTGGAGAATGTCGACTTTCACCGGTGAATGTGAACACATACCAAATACGTCGGTGAAAGATCGAATATTTGATTACATTCTTGCACATACATTCGGACCCTCACTGGTGTATGTCGACTATCACATATATGCTCTGGTGAAGGTCCAAAAGAGAGGAGCCAACAAAGAGGCGACTGGCTCTCTCCCGCCAAATTCTGTATTCTGTTGGGAGTCAGTCAGCTTTGTCAGTTTTATGCAAGCTTTGATGATGCCAGCAACGTTTTCTTAATTTTATTTTCCGATACCGTAATTTATACTAAATGGATACTGCAGTAAATCGTGATCTTTTTCTTGAAAAGTTAAATGCATTAATTGCGGGTAAACGAGAAGACAATTGTTTTTATTTTTCTCAAGAAAAGTACTCTAAAATACTTTCTGAAGTGGTTTCTGCTAAAACTAAGTGCAACACACCTTTGGATTACAGACGATTAAAACGTTTTGACGTTTTAAAAATTAAGGATGAAGAGAAGTTAATTGTACCATTAAAACCAGGGGAAACGAATATACAGTATTATGTTACCAATGAAGAATTGTTCAGTATACTATATGAAACTCACGCCAGAATAGGCTACGGAGGAAGAACACGTATGCACCAGAATAGGCCATGGAGGAAGAACACGTATGCTTAAAGAGTTGCAAGTTAAATACAAAAATATTACATATGAAGTTGTAATGTTGTATTTAAATTTATGCAAACAGTGTCAAATGAAACACAGTGCACCTAAGAAAGGTGTTGTGAAACCAATGGTCAGTTCTGAATTAAACTCAAGATGTCAAGTTGATCTGATAGATCTGCAGTCAAACAGAGATGGCGAATATAAGTTCATAATGGTGTATCAAGATCATTTAACTAAGTTTGTCCAGCTACGACCTTTGAAAACTAAAAGAGCTGAAGAAGTAGCGCATCACGTTCTTTACATCACGTTCTGTCAATATTTCTAACATTTGGTGCACCAGCAATATTGCAATCAAATAATGATAGAGAATTCAGTAATCAAGTCATATCCAAAATATGCGCTATGTGGAAAGATATTAAGATAATTAATGGAAAGCCTTGTTACAGTCAAACACAAGGCTCAATTGAAAGGGCCATTCAGGATATACAGAATATGCTAACTGCATGGATGAATGATAACAATTCAAATAAATGGTCAGATGGTTTACCCTTTGTTCAATTTGCCAAGAATACTACATACCACGAAGGAATACGCCAAAGTCCTTATGAAGCCATGTTTGGCGTTAAAGCAAAAAGAGGCATAGCATCATCTTTTTTGCCTAGCGAACAAATCACAAATATTGAAACCGAAGAACAACTTGAAGAAATTGCCAATACTTTTGAAACTGAAGAACATCTTGAAAATACTGTTAATACTTCTGAGAAAAATTTGAGCGGTGGTCATACTGAATACCATATTCCAGAGAAAAATATTGAAGAGGATCTGCAATCTACAATGTCTTCATATCAAGATCTGACTGAAAAACACGAGTTAATTTCTATAAAACGAGCGGCCGCAAAAGAAAATCTTCTACTGCAAGCAACAAAAATGTTACGAACCTCACAAAAATAATTTCCTCCTGCTCAAATTTGTGATGCTGCACGAATACAAGTCCCTGATGTCGACCATGGTCGTACAGATAGCCGAAATGTGTTAGCGGTTGTTGTTAGAATAGAAGACTCTGACTTTTATAAACTGGCAAATAAAAATGGTACCTTCAAACAGCTTTACACACGTAATCAGTTAGTAATTCGTAAAGAAAAGTTACTTTCCATAGATGAGAATTCGAGAAGCAGAGGGCAAGGCTATATATGCTGTTATTGCAAAAGGAAATGTTCCACAAATAAATGCAGTTTTGTAAAAACAAGGGACTCTTGTGCATTTTAAAGTGTCATAATAGTTTAAGTTGTTGCAATAAATAAGATTTGAATCACATAATTAAGTAATTTTTTTATTACTATTATTTTCTCATATAGAATGTACTGTGTGTTTGAAATTCTTGGTCACTCCTCTCAGAAAGAGAGGCGAAAAAGTTACGTCACCCTTGTAACGTTTTATAGCGACTAAATTACGGGGAAGAAATTATAAATCTCCGACATGTTCAACATTCACCATTAGTGTATGGTGAATGTCGACATTTACCGGTGTAAGTTAGAAATAAGGGTATTTAGCAAATATTTTAGACATACACCAAGTGATTATGCGAATGTTGACATTCACTAGTGAAAATCGACATTCTCCAGATTTCGGTGTTTCACTGTAACATATGTACATTATAGTAATACTATTTATACAGGATTGAAAGTGTTAAATATTTCAAAGAATATGCTACACTTATTGAGTAATAATGTAACATATTGCTTTACATAATTGTCCTGATACTTATCTTTGACTTTAATTTACTTATAATTTATAATAAATTGAAAATATAATTACAAATATATGTGCATGAAATTATTATGGATTACTATTATCTAAGTATTAACTGTTTTATATAAAAAAAATTACCTTTATTATTCCAGTTGAAAGTACATAAGATGTCATTGCCAAAACTGTAAAAAGTCCAGCAAGGATTTGATTTCTTCTTTTATGAGGGAATTCACCTTCTGAATAATTTCCCATACTTTCTGCTGTTTCTTTGGCTTTATATTCTTGACAGTCGTGGCTGAAACATCTTTCCGATATACGTGCTATGAAGCTTACTAAATTTTTGCAGTCCTTTAAATGATTTTGTAAAGCTGGATTAGGTAAAGGAACTTTAAGTAATGGTGCCAAGTAAGAATACACAATGGCATCTAGTTCAGTAGGTTCAGAACCAAAAAAATAGTTTGAATCTCCAAGACTTTCAGACAACATTGTTAAACATTTTCGTGCTTCAGAATATACCTGTTGTGTAGGTTTATAATTATTGAAGCTTCTTATATACCCAATATATTTTAATACTTGTATAATTATCAGATTCTTAATATAATATGCTATAATTAATTAAATGGTATACTGATATGAATTTACATATTTTACTGATTATTCGTAAATATCCATTTTCATTTTACAAAAGGTATACATATTATATTAGTTATTTAGATTATATAGATTACAACAATAATCCATATAATCATTATAACATTGTTGCATATCATTACCTTATATTCTATGGCAGCCATATCATCTTCTCTGGCATACAAAGCTTCAAACATTGAGCGAGCTTCTTGTTCAAATTTTGATGGGTAATAAAAATTGAATGGGAAAGGAATTGCTTTACAGTACCATGGCCTTATTAATTCATTTAGATTTCTTTGATCTACCCACCTAAAGATATTAATATTCCAAATATTTAAGATACATACAATAAATTCTGATATTATAATTGGGACCTGTACATACCAAATAAATTGTAATGCTGGAAATAATTTTTGTTTCAACATTACATCATAGGCTAGTATTTTTGCACATTCTTTTCGCTTTAATGTGTATTCTGTGTTATAATGGTTTTCTCTAAGATAGCCTATTATATCTTTAACTTTATCTAACGTAATGTTATTACTTTTTAATACAGGTAATCGGCCATTGGGTGTTTTGAATAAATTACTAGACTTATTTATTTTTAAAGCTATATTACTAAATTTAGCATAAACCTAAAGAAAAATTAATAAATATTATTTTCTATATTCAATATTTGCAAAGTATGTCTTAATATTATATCCTAAAAATGTATGTTTATGTTTTTTATTCCTTTCTTTTTAACTTATCTATTAGACAAATTATGATAGGAATGCAAAAGCAACAGATAAAAAATATGTAAATAAATAGTATATGGTGCATATATGTAAATAAAATAGATGGTACATTGTTTATAAATTAAACAAAGTTTTGTCTTTGCATAGATCAGTTGAAAAATTTTTTTATTGAATCTATTTATGATTTGCCATAGATCTTCTTGCTACAGCATGTAAAAACATATTATACTACACAATGCACTTAATTACCTTTCATTGTATAAGATAATATGAAGACAAACATACAAGTTTTACAAAGAAGACAAAAAATTATAGTTCTTCTATCAACATCTTTAAACTGTTAACTTGTTTAAGAATGGGTTAAACGTGACTTCAGATCAATCGATATATATTATTATTTTATTGAACAATATACTATACAATATATTACAACAATATTTTATATAAAATATTAAAATATATTGTACAATTCATCGCTACCTGAAATCTCAGGTAGGACCAAAAATGTTGATTAAACTAGGAATAAATTAGATCTGTTTTGACATTTTCGACAGACAAATAGCGCATGTATAACATTAAGTACATGTAAAAAAACTATTTTTATTATTTAGATGCTAAAAAACTATGTATCACTTTAACTATTTCACTTATCACTATATTCTTCACATAAAAAATGTAAAAAGATGTGATCAATAAAGTTATTTTAAAATTTAGGATACAAATATTTAAGTCATAATGTTAGTTTAACATTATACTTTTATTGCACACTTCAATTACACAAATTTTCTTAATTTAATGACCATATAGTTAAAGAAATGACAATTAACAGTTTACACATAATAAATATTCCATAAATCCAAATATTATTGCTTCTACAAAGTAGCATCGAACGACTATTCTACATTAAGCCTACTTCTACTCATAACCTGTATTCAAAGTACATACCAAAACTTGTAAACATTCTGGGTCTATTGATGGTAAACCCCAATCACCTTTCCATATACTTAATTCAAATTGCTCCATTTTATTACAAATTTAAACAAACGATCACTTATTTATTTTACAAGTTAAACATGAATTCCACGTGCTGCTTTTCACTGTATAGTAAACAAACAGATCCTTTTTACTGTTTCACCGGATATAAGACTTATATATACATCGATATTTCCAATATATATTGATGGAATTAAATAATATTTTTTATAAGCAAAGTTGACTATTATTGATTAATCAATTATTTAACTATCGATGAAAATAACAGTTTTATTCGCTTGTTTTAATACATATTGCCTCTTCAAATAATTTTATAGTGTATTTAAAATACAAATAATTTTCGATTATTTGAAGTCGATTTATTTTATATATCGATAATTTGTTACACGAAAATCAAATTATTATTTATTTCATTTAAATTTCAGGACTATTTATGAGTCTTAACGGCAAAGTTGCGAGCACGTTTATTTGAATGAATAAAGAATATGGGATTAAATAACTATTTTAAATAAAGTATTATTTTCTTTATTACATAATTGTATGCATTATATTGTTTCATTTAAGAAAATAAAACAATGCTTTATTTCAAAGAATTCGTTGTTTTTAAGATTAATAATTTTTTATTTAAAACAAGTGCTTCTTTAAATATTTCGATACAAATAACAAAATAAGATATTGTTCTTTTAATTGGACAAGAGATTAAAAATTTAATTTTTCGATAAAAAGTTTAGTTGGTCAAAGAATAATAACTAATTTTTAATTTTAATGTTAATTTTAATTTTAAATTTAGGAAAATATAACACTTTTTAAATAATACACAAAAGAAAAGAATTCTTAATAAATTATATTTAACAATTATGGGAAAATATTTAAAAATATTAGGTATGTATTGTTTCATTTTTTATTATAAGAACTTTATATTATCATATAATTTTTAAACATTTATTACATGACACTGAATGGCAAAAAGTATATAAAATAAATAATAAGTTAAATAAAAATTATAAAAATTGGAAGGCTGTATTTATATTCATAGTGTTTGTTCACATGCATTTTAAGATATTTGCTATACAAATTTTGGTTACATAAATATATTAATGATTATGTATATATTTTAAAAGTACATGAAAAAAGAAGACATTATACATTACACTTTTCACCGCATTGTGTCTATTGTATATACATATAAAATTATAAATTAATATAAATATACATTTAATATACTTGTACCAGTGTTATTTTTACATAAATAGTAGTAAATTCTCTAACATAATATATTCTTACAAATTTAAATCACATCTATAAGCGAATCTAAAGGTAATTCACTTCTAAAATTAAGATTAAGAAATTTGGTATATGTATCTTGAATTTTCTATGTGCTTCTCTTCCTAAATGTAAAATAGATGTATATACAATAGTAGATTATTATTATTTCCTAAATTTCATTATTAATTATGTAATGAATAAAATTTATTAATAATTTAAATCTTGACCCTACTTTATTTAAAAAATCATGCATATTTTTTTCTTAGTTTAGGTTTGCCTAGCTTTTTATAGCGAGCTTGATTCATACGAGACATTAACATATATATAAGAGGTAAACAGAATATTAATAAATATATTCTTAAAAACGATGGAAAATGAAATGCAAAGTTCCAAGAATTAGGTAAAGATATAGTAAATCTCTGCGTTTCTTCAAAATACGGAATATTCCTCAATATTATAATACCTTCACAAAGAAAACCTAATGGGTATAATGGCATCCATATTGTATATCTTAACCATGTTAAAAATGGAATTTCTATTTTTAATAATTGTGTAATGTAATATGGATATCTAAATATTTCCACCATACTCCAAACATGGAAAAGATAAAAGACAACAGGTTTTGTTTGCATTCGTGGTTCAGCTTCGATCATACAGAATAAAATAAATGCTCTCCCTCCCACTTGTATAAATGACATAAGTGTATTACTTTTAGTGTATCTAAATAATGAATGCAGAACTTCTAAAAATTGTAGAAGTTGTATAAATTTCATTGCATTACCAACAGCTGCATATGTTTCTTTCATAGATGCTAAAATAAAAGAAATTGACAATTAAAGTACAGACAATTAAAATACAGTTTTAGTGCAGTATTAATTATTATTATTAAAACTTTCCATGCATTGATATATTTACTAACCTGGTCCATCTCTTGAATACATTATTCCCATTACAGTGAGAATATAAATAAAACCAACAAATTGACAAAGATTGTAAATTATTAAATATACTTTCTTGAAATTTTCTACAAATTTAATAAAAACAAATTAATATTGCAACTTAACATAATTACAATATTGACAGTAATATTTAATAATATGATATACCTTTTCTATACCCAAATTCTTCTTTATGAAGTTTGTCATACATGCCAGGATAATCATTACATATATCTCGTTTTTCATCTTCATTATCTTCTAAATCTTCACTTGTCCATTTATCAAAATCAATTTTCAACCACGATGGCTTCTGTGGTTGACTGGTTAATCTGGGCCACCAAGCAGGACTTTTCTTCTTCAATGTAAAATCAATTTGTCGATTTATCACTTTATAATTACTTTCCTATAACAATAAAATTAAATTTTTATAGTTTATGTATATAGTAGTATACACATTTATGCATGTTGCAGTGTCCTATTGTTAATGATAAGTAAATATACTATTGAAGAATGATGCTATACATACTTAATAATGAGTTAATATAACACATGTTATATTAATCTGAAGCTTAAAATTTAATCGAAATAGCTGCATAAACATTTTATTAATATTTTGAACACAAAACGGTGGTTGCTATTTATAACTAATATTAATCGACTTCAGAACGTTTAACGCGTAAAAAAATTATTGTTATAAAATTATCAAAACAGTATTATCAAATTAAGGCTGATACAAAATTGTCAATCGTTAAATAATCATATTATTATTGTATAGAATAATGAAGCGATTTTTTTTAAATCAGCCAGGTCATATTAAAGACATTTTGAAAAATTTACTAATCATTTTCAGCAAACTTTAAACTTTAAATCGATGTATCATAAGTACTGTTTTGTAATGCATTTATATCAACAAATTGCTTCGGGCTTTCGATATTTCGAAATCGATCATTTCATATGCAACAATCAAACAGATAAGATTCGTAATAATTACAAGATATCCTTCTAAAAATAAAGGGAGATTTGCTTTAAACATTTCTTTCAATAAGAAATAGTTTAGTATACAATTATGTTTTCTTCGAATGGAACACATTCCAAGGAAAGTTTTATTTGTACATCCGTGATTATCGAAGAAACCAATTATCCGATTTCTATGCGATTTCTTTTTTGTTTAGAGAAATTTTTATTCTAGGAGCGATATGCGCTGTATGATTTAATCTCAAAGTCAGTCAGGCTTAAAAATACGCTAAATTTACTTAAAAACTCTAGGATCGCCCAACAAAATATCAAAACTGAATTATTATTTTTAAAATTAAAATTCAATTATTAACATACAGGGAAAAATTCGAAACATTCCATATATTTATAGATTCAATACTATTAATCGTCAGTAGTTGCTATCTTATTGAGCAAAACATACTTGATTCATTCAATCGCTAAATGTCTTGTACGTTTTTGTACTAACACCATTAAACAATGGCGTATAGAAATTACACATACATGTAATTTATTCGTATCATAATGGGGTGATTTCTTACTGTGTATAGTATGTTTTAGTTTTTTACAGTTAAAGACTTAGTTTTCTTATTTGAATATAGATCGATCTATTAGCAGACCAATCAGAAATCAATTTTGAACATAAATATCGTTTCCTACGCGCAATGCACATAACTTGAAATACGAAAAATCTAGCTCATATTTTACCAAAATTATTTCGAGATTAACTTTAATTAAATCCGATACAATAATGATTAAATTAACAATAATTAAATTGCTCTGTCTGACATAGTTGTTAATAAAGTCATGAGGGCATAAATAATCACAAGAAATGACAACATATTTCCCAAATGACCTAAAGACAATTATAGGTGAAATAAGTTTTATACGAACTTCTTCTTCGAAATATGAATTTTCCATGTACATAGTCGATGAAATAATTTTATAGTTGTCACTTGTAGTGTTGATCTTGAACTCAGTGACATTTAATAAGTGCTGATCCTTAATGTTTTATTTACTTCGCCATATCGGAGTAATGACTATACACAAAATACGTTGACTGCAAAGTCCGCTCATGCAAATTCTCGTAACTGAACCTTGTTCGTATTTTAGTCTGTTCAGTTATCTACAGTTATAGTAACTCTAAAACTTATCTGAAGTATTGTTTTAAATACAAAAAACATTTCATTAAAATTAAACAGACAGTTCTTGCAATATTCATAGCCGTACAAAAGACATTTTATATGAAGCGAACCGACAGTGACAGTGAAAGTGATATTGACAGTGACAAGAATGATTTAAAATTTACATCTATTATACACTGATATAAAACATAATTCTTATTATGTTATATTTACAGTGATGTTAATAGATCTAAATTTTATAAGTATTTTTATTTTTGAAATTGAGGGGCTCATTGGAAAACCATGCCACAATATAAAGTAAAAATTATAAAAGAAAACTAATTTTTTCTTTGAAATATTGGCGATATAGAGAATTAACAATTTATTATTAATTTAATTTTATTATTATTTCCTTCGAGCTCCTCAATCATTAATCAAATGATTTTAATTATACTTAGGTAAGTTGATCTTAAGTCATTTTTTATTTAGAAAAAGGTTATTTTTGCAAAACTATAGCTACTATTATACTTTTATCTTTCATCGCGTAAATCAACAATTTTTTTAAAAATATGAGACTTAATCGATTTGAAATTTTCATTTGGAATATATTGTTCATATGAAGATTATTTATAGTATGATAAATGAACGAAAAATATTTATTTTTATATTATATATATTATTAAATGTATTTTTCTGTTTATACAGTGTGTCTCATAACTAGTGTAAGTTCCGAAAATAGGTGCTGGAGACGTAATTCTGAACATTTTCCTTTGCAAACATATTTGAAGCTTCGTTTCAGTCCAGAATCACCTCAGCTATCCTTTTCCGGGAGTTACGCTAGTTGTAAGACATCTTGTATAAATAGAGAAATGGAATGAAATATTCAGAATAAGATACAAATATTTCTTTTCAGCGCATTTTAATACATACACTCACTAAATATCGTGTGTTTAATAGTTTAGTAATAAACCAATCCTTTTAACCAATAGATCGAAATATTTTTAAAAAAAAATAAAGATAATTGCTGTAAATAAATTTCATATTGACAGCAAGTACTAGTGGAATCCATTAATACGAAATAAAATTATTCGTGAAGCTAGTAAATTATTCTCAAGTTCTTAAAGTTTTAAGAATGGCAAATTATCTAAATTCGTACAGTACATTCAAAAGAATTGAATGTTTGATAATAATGTTTAAACAGCCTTGAAATTAAACAACGCTCAAGTCATCAATACAGTAGATTCTGAAGCTTCTGCTAAAGCAGTCAAACAGAATTCATCAATTAGTATAAATCTGTAAGGACGATTGTAAATCTAGGGTTTCCTGTCCGTAAGTTCTTTAACACCTTTACTTTTACAAGCTCGAAACAATTCCCTTACAAAATGCCTACAGTGGCAATAAAAGAAATTGAATTTTTAATTTTGATTTAATTTTAATCTTTAAAAAAATACACAAAAAATATTCGAAATTATAAATTATTCTTCTCACTTTTTTCGGGTTTCAATAACAGTTTAAATTTCGTCTAAATTTAATTTTTATAATTTGGACTAAAGTTTTTTAGGTGTTTAAACTGAAAATATGTAAACGATAAAAACGATGATTTAAGCGTTTAATAAATCTAAAAAGTTAAAATAGTTTGTTCATTGTCATTTTAATAATTAGGAATACATTTTATTTTTCAATTTTCTATTTCATTTTTAAAAAATAAAAACGTGATGCATGAATTTAATTTATTTATAAGTTTATTTTGTTTAAATCGATTTTTCTTACAATAATTAAGAAAATAGTTTTTAATTATAAAATCTTCTAAAAAGAATAATTCATGTTGTTTTCAAAAGAAAACCGAAATCATTTATGATAAACATTTATTCCATTTGTTATACTTGAAGCGTATCTTTAAACCTTACACTTGTATCGCTTTCACATGATTTCTGAAACTAAGCGAAAACTTTAATAAAGAGAAAGTAGAAATAAAGAACTAAATCAGTAAAGAATCTGCGGCACCTGTGTAGAATGAATGTATACATTGCCATATTTAAATAAAAAAAGTGCAGTTTGTCTATCCTATTGTATATTTCCACCTGTGTACGAAGTGCAGTGAGATATTTTAGGAATTCTAATTGTGCTAACCGAATTCTGATGACCTCGAACCTATTGGCCATTAAAATTTAGCTGACTGGGCGATAAAGATGAATTTCGTTTTTAACACACTAAAGCTTGTTGGTTAAAGTTTGTCACGCTTGGTTTACAAGAAATTGAAACGTCGCAGACAGTTTCTCGTTAAACATCCGCAAATTTCTCATCAACAAATAATTTCAGTATAGTATGTATAATTTTATTAAACAATTATACCTATTTGACAGTAATTGTATTATTGCATGTTTAACTTTGTATATTTTGATTTTTGCTGAAAACAAAACTTTGGATTTTCTAATATAGTGTTATTGAATAAGTGTGAGGTAGTGATATATCTATAGTATAGTAAATATATGATACGTGCACATTCATAAAATTCATTTTGAAAAAAATGAAAATTTTTATTGCATAAAACATTTATGTAGAAATAAATGGTGAATTTTTAAGTATAATAGATGTGAAAAAAATCTAAGTTTTTAATCTTACTTTCAATGGTAACAATATTGTACACTAATCACTACAGCTATTTTATTATTAGTGATTGCATTGTTCTTGATAAGTTAGAGTAGCATACAATTAAAATATTAAATACTTGATCACCTTTAATTATTTTATTTTATGTAAAGATATAAAAAAGTACCTGCAGTTATATGTTTCGAAATTTTATAGTGATATTTTGATATAGAATATATTTCGTAATTAATATTTTCTTATAGTAATAATTCTTTTAAAAACGATAAACAATTTTTATATTTAAACTTTACAAAAATGTATTCATTGATAATATTTATATTTAATTATAAATGTGTGTAACTTTCTTTTACCAAAATTGTTACATGTACATATATTTACATGTATTACATGTTTTCAAAATTATTATATCCACACTTGATGAATTATTAAAATGACATAAATTTAAAAATTCATGTATTTTTTATAGCTGTCTGTGACTTCAAAACAGTTGATGATATGGTAAAACTGTGTGGTATTTAAAAGAATAAAAAAGTAAAAATATTTTACTGTTTCGAATAACTAACATAAAATATACGAAATTTTTATGTTTTCTTATTAAATTTGTATCGAGAAACGAAAGTTTTCTGCTTTTCAAGCGAAATTGTATATGATCGAATTTTTTAAGAATTTTGCATATAAAAATATCGAAATATATTGTAAAACGTATGAATAAAATGTCTTTTGATTTTAAAATACCTGATATATTATTGATTTTTTTTAATACTACTTTCGTATTTTTTTACGCGGAATGTTCTAAAGAATTTATCATATAAAATAAAACGTACGGAGTTTCATTTATAGAATGAAAGATTACTTTCGTTTCTTGGCAAATATTGCAAACACGAAGAATTTACATATCGTATCGTGTTGACTATAAAATACCATATTTACGTTCCTTATTTATTACAAATACTGCTTTTGAAAAATTTACTGATCTATGATATCGGGTATATCTTGTATAAAATGTAGAAACAAACAGAGATTGCATATTTTTGATATGATCATTCACACAATTACTTTTTACGCTAATCGCGGAAGATGTGAAATAAATTTTAGTTAACGATCGGTAGTCTTTATTTACGATCTATATACATGATTTTTACTAATTTTCAAGATGTACTGATTACAAACTATATTAATATGTATATATTTCCGAATCAACCGTATTATGTAAATATTATACATTGAAAACTAGTTAAAATGAATTGTATACATGAAAAGCTAATAACTTCATTTTAAAAAGTGTTGTTAAATAATCTAAAAGTATGTAATTCTATTCAAAAGACGGAACATAACCTTCATGTTTTTTAACATAAATATATTTCATTACTACATTTCATATTATGAATGATTCTAAAATAATGGACAGTAGCATCATAATAAAACACTGTATACATAGGATGTTCTAAACTTAAACAAACTCTGAGCTTGCTCTATAGAGAAAAGAAAAGAAACAAATGTTATGTAAAGGTTATCAATAAATATTTTGTTACAAAATTATAAACAAGTATTGTATTCATGAAATTGGTAATGATATGTTTCCCATTGCCACACATAGAAAGGTAACTGTATTTATTTGACTAGCAAATATTTTTATTTCAATCATCCTCTAAATTCCTTGGTTATTCTAATACTCTTACTTGAAATTAGTTCTGATCTATCAAATAAAGTACCAATTTATATTAAAATGCTAAGAATATTTTCCAACAAAGAATATGATATTTTTTGTACACATTTTAAGTGATGGAAATAATCGACCTTATTATTAGATACTGTACTTATTAATAACACAGTATTGTTATCACATGATAAAGAATATGTGCCTATAGGCCAAATAAACTCAACTAATCTTTTCTATGTTATAATGGAAAATATACTTTTGCTCATTTATTTTATGCATATAATGCTTTACCAGTCTGTAATAAACTATTTGTTGATATTCATAACATTCTTTTATACTCATAATATTCTTTCTGTCTCCTTACCTGCAAATTAAGTCCTTACAGTTTGTTCATTTTAATTTAGAATACCTTCTACAATATTTATAATAATCTCTAATTTTGATCAATTATAAATGTAATAACTCAAGTTTACTTTACTGTTAGTTATAAAATACATGTTTCGAATCTTTAAAAATATAAAGAAAAGACTTGATTCTTTTGTTACAGTTACCCATATCAAAAACTATTTCTATATATTTATATATTCAATTATCTAATTTAATATTTAAGTATAAATAATTTTGTTCATAAAATTTTATTAGTAATAAGAAATGTTTTAACATACCTACTTTTGTTTTTAATTGTCATATGAAAATTTTGAGTATAATATATTTGACATATATTCTATTTGATATGTATATACTTTGTATTAGACAACTATAATTGTCCATGATACACAATGATTTTTTTGTAGTGATCTTCACCCGTAATAATGAAATGGTTAATCTTCAATGCAAAACAAATTAATGTTCCTTTTCAAAAGTTATTTATATTTACAATTTATTTGGTATTTATAATCAACTAATTTCTAAAAGCTTTAAAAGATGTATTAATTTATTCAATATGTACGTAAGTTTATACATAAAAATTACAGAAATAGTTTTATATAAAAAATTTATAATTTAATATAAATACTTAGTTAAACTTTAGCATAAATATCAAAACAAAAATATATGTAGTAATAAGAAGGATATTACCTCAGAGTCAATAGATGAATGTAAATCAAGATTAAATCCATAATTATTAAGTCCTCTAGCACCCTGTCCATATGCTGTAACTTGTAATCTTTTTTCTTCTATGTCAACATTAACATCCTACAAAATATAATTATTAGTAACATTAATTTGTAAATAAGAAAATGTACATGTATTACAAATTACGTACCTTGACATCAGTTAAATCTACTTTTAATGTTATTTGATTTTCTGTTTGAGCCCAATATACAAACGGAGTTAATAGATTTGCCATATTTTCATGTTGTTTTTAAAAATATTCACTTTGTTATGTTCCTTTTATAATGAGCTACAACTTCAGAAGTTTCGTTTTAACTAAAGCCAATACCAAGTTTGTAAATATCTTCTTTAATAATATACACTAATATCATAATTATTGATATTTTCAATATCAATTAATCAAAGTGTAATGCAAATAACTAATCTTTTACTGCATAACATGTTACTGCTAGTCAATTCGACTATACATATGAACAGCTATCAAGAATATAAAAAAGTATATATTCTCCTATCTGTGGCTACCTTCACATGATACACATATATAATTTATTTATACAGGAGGAATATTTACAGAACTTTATTGATATTTTTATATGAAATATTTATTATTTTCGAAAAATATAAAATGATACTATTGTTCTTATTCGTGAAACGTGGGAAAACAGGATATTTTATATTTCATTCCACATATTATCATACATCTTGGATAACAAATTTTCGTTTAACACATTTTGTAACCAATAGCAACGCATAAGTGTTTTTGTAACGATTATATTGTGAAGAACACATATTCAGTGATCTTTTATTTTAGTATACTATATCACATTATTGCTTTTCTTCCGCATACATATATTTTTATTCACTATGTATAAGGCCATGAAGCAAAAGACTGTAGATGGACATCCATCTAGTGATGAGAAGTTCTCTGAACAGTCACGATGCGCCAAAAACTATAGTTTCTGTAAATTGAAGTATCGACATTTTTTTAAATTACGTTTGAATAGAAACAATAAATTTACCTTTATAATTTATTTAATCGAAAATTATATGTTTTCGTACTATAATAACTGTTTAAGATCTTATAGTAGTATCTATTATCAGAAAAATAATTATAAATTATCATTTATCAGTATAATTTATCGTTTATCGTCTATCAGTATATTATCAAACCAAAGTTATGTTTTGGTGAATTAAAAGACATTATAGATCTCCTTGTCACTCACCTGATTAAACAGGAACAACAGCTTTTTGTTGTTACATACTGTTCTCCCAAGGTGAAATACGAGAGTTGTTATCCTATCGTGTCTGTTATTTGCGGGTAGATTAATGAACATAATATCATACATTTATTAATCTATTAATATTTTTGTCTTGTTTTTAAACTTTACCGTTTAATACATTCGACCTCAAGTGTGTTTTAAAACATTTGTGTTAGTGTTAGATATTCAGGACACTTGTACTAAGTTCTTTGTTTAAACATAAAAATATTTGAATTTAGACGAATAGTTCGAATTTTTTAATACATATTTATTTACGAATTTTTAAAATTGCAAAATTTACAAATTTTAAATTCTTAGTTTATCAGAAATAAACTCATTTTATGTTACTAATCATGTACTCATCGATATCTATTAACGACATAGCGTAAAATGCAGTATTGAATATATCGTGTTTTGACCCAGGTTCCATAAACTGTAACGGTAGCTTTAATGATTTTAAAAATCATAAAATCGTACAAAGATAAAAATACAGGATATTAGCAGACAAAGGCGCAATAAAGATTTAAAATGCTATGTTAAGGTTACATAAGAATGTATTTCGTACACATGAAAATGTATTTTGTTTTAGCTTTATCGCAATGAAACTACACCTGTTACTCTGGGACCGAGCGTGTTAAAACTGAAGGCCGTAGATATATACATACATCCTAATTTATCTCTTGACACGAATGTAGATTTTAAGAGTGTGTATCTATTTTCCGAAATTGATAAATTTTATTTGAAACATTTTTTCTATCAAATTATTAGGAAAGTCTAAACAGATGTGGTGACGTGGTACACCCTGTATATAGGGTGTTCATATCAACACTAACTAGCGTTCTTTTCGCAAATCATAAAAATATGAAAAAAATTAAAGAAAAAAATTGTACTGGTTTTTACAGTTAATTGTATACTGAAAATTTTTAAATCTGCAACATTTCTCAAGGAATAGTGACTTTTTATTTTTTGAGGAAACAGCGAATTTCCTCGATATGGATCGATTTATTGCAGTTTGATTTGCAGAAATAATTCATGTATTATGAATTGATCCACGCACAGCCAATACTGGATTAACCAATAAGTAAAATGAACTATTGTTTAAGACATCAGGAAAAAAAGGAGCGTAAAAAAAATTTTCTTCTGTTCAAAACCTTCCAGAAGTTTTATTTTTTGTATAAAGGGGCCATAAAATATTTTAAATGCATGGGGCTCTAAAAGGTCTTAATCCAGCACTGATAATAGCAAATTAACGATTCTATTAAAAAAAGGATTATGAATGAATTCATTTTTATGTGGAATTGCATATATATTTTATTTTATCCAAGTAATACTTATGAACATAAAAAAATATCAGAATAACACGTAGAATTAATTGCAACTTTATGAGATATATTAAATTCTTACGTAAAATACCTCCCAAATTATTGATTTTTTCGACATTGCACCATAATACTTCTTACGATAAAAGTTTCATAAAATTTGTATATAAAAAATATACAATCTTATTTAAACAATTGAAGGTCTGCTTTATTTTCTGAAAAGGATTATGGAAAAAAATTTACCCGCATTATTATATCTTTAATTATTCGTAATTTTTTCGATTTTTAATTTTTCATATATTTACCACTTACGGGAAAAACATTGAACAGCGTTGAAATGACCATTGCTACACATAAATCAAATTTATGTCCATAAATCAAATTTAATTATCGTATAAAAATTAATAATATTAAATATTAAATATACTCTTATTTAACTTTATATTCGTGAATTATTTTTCACATACGGTTTTTTCATTTAAATACTTACTTCTAATTTTATTGTTGTTAAACTTTATTATGAGATGCAATGTTGTTTATATTAACTTATTGATACATAATTTAATACCATATTTTTAAATAGTTTGAACTATACATTTATTTATAACTATATCTTTAATTAATCTATTAGGTATAAACTTAGAATTAAATTAAAATTGATACAAACTTTACACGAATATAAACTCTAATACGCGTTAGAAGATGAAAATAATCTGGAGGAGAGAAAGAAAAATATGATTATTATTTAAAAATATTTAATATTTAAAATTTACGTGTAAAATGATTATTGCAAAACAACACTGAAAGCAGTTCAGTAGATGTAGGTAAGTAGGTATCACACAGTATATAACAATGAGGAACATCAAACATTCAATACGATAAGCTTACAGTAGTGAGTACATATATAGGGGAATTTATTCTAACTGATATTAAACTGAAGAAAGTGATCACTAAAGAGACTAATGATTAGGCATTTTTATACACGTAGACTTGCGCGTACTCATGCTCATATAGCATATATAGGAAGTGCTGTGGGTCAGACACATGAATGTAATACATGTGATACTGTCGAGTTGACAGTTTAATTAATTAAAAAAATAACGTTAACTTTCTTTAGTGCACATGCTAGCGATTGATAGTTTAAAACATTATAAAGTAATTTATTTTTCTTTCAAATCCTTGTTTTATAATGATTTGAAAACAACTAAATTTTTATTGATTCAACATTTAGTCACGTTCGTATTTTAAGGTTAAAAGGTAATTCAATTATATTTTATAATATCAAGTAGAGTCAATTGTGCCATACTTAATCTTCCATAACATACCTTTAATATTGTATGATGAAGATACATTCTATTCAATGTTTTTTATATATATTTCTTGTTTCAATAAACTAAATATAAAATATATTTTGTATATTTAAATACATTCGTATGACTTAGTTTCACGTGCAATTAGATGATAACATAAGGTTAAAAGGTAGTAATATATTTATGTATTGATATTATTCATATAAATTCATTAAATTTGCAATAAAGCAAAATTTAAACTATTAATATATAAACAGATTATATGAAACCTCTAATGATAATACATGTATATTATGAAAGCGTTATTGAAAATCCATTTCAATAATCTAAATTCAATATTAGAACATATAAAGTCATTTTTAATATTTCAGATAACTATTGGAATTAAAATTTGAACATAATTTATTATATATGCCTTTCTATAATTAATAGTTGACTATTTAGTGTCTTGCTGTAGATGTTCATTCTCCAATATGTTATTTAAAAATATGAAGTTCTTAAATAGTCAAGTCTTTCCTTTTACTTTTATATTATTACTTTTTAATTGTAATAAATTTAACGAATTTAAAGATACTTTGAGTTTAAAACAAAGAAAGTTTCAACTTCAGTAACTCATTGTTATCTTACAAGTAATGTGATATCTTACATATTGTTTTGCATATAACATTATTACAAGACTTAATGAAGTTAGAATAATATTCATAAAATTATGTAGAATTGTTACAAATTAATATTTTATCATCATTTGCAAGTAAAATGTTTTTATATCAAAAATAAATTCATGAACAAAATGATATTTAAAATAAAATGATAAAACAATCACACGTATTAAATATAAGTACATACACATATACATATATTAATAATGTCACATCAGTAGTAGTTTTTATATTCATTACTTTATTTACTTTCTTCTCAGTACAATATTGGTATGTTTTGTTTAAATATTAATAGGCAATATTTTTATAATTTAAGAAGAAAATGAAAGAAAGTGTTTTATTAGCATTAACATTAATAAATTTCCCATAACGAATACTTAAAATATGAAATTATTAGAATGTTTTCATCTTTTTGTATTCATAACAGTATTAGTAATAGTAACTAGTTGATGGTGCAGATTGGCTAATGCAGTTTGACAATGGTGCGAAGAAAAGTAGATCGAAAGAAAAGCACTGCTTCTAGTATGGGTATTTCCAATAATGTAAAGAATTTTGATGGCAGTTTTATTTACATGGATAGTAAAAATACAATGAATGCTACTACAGTGATACCAGTTTCACAACTTACACATAAACAATCTAAAGGCTTATTAAAAGAACATCTGCCCATTTCAGGAAAGAGGACAAACATGGTATATAATGTACCTATTTTGCCTATATTTTGTGCTATTTCTTTTTACATAAATTTAAATTATTTAATTGCATGTAATTATTGCTGCATAAATTTATTAATTTAATGTTAATAATATCAATTTTTTGTTAAAATAACAAAAGCATTATATAATAATTTTGTTTATTTCATTAATATACATACATCACAGACATAAAGCTAATAAACATTACTTTAAAAACATATTTCATAATGTAAATGGTAGTAACTGTAATACATGAATAACTTGCACTAATTTTTTTATAAACAAGGAATGGAAAGATAGCATGAAAATATTAAAATACATTTTTTGATATTATATAATATTACTACTAATAAATTAGACTCTTGAATATTATGAATACGAGTGATTAGCTTTTATTTTTGATCATATAGGAACATATATATACATTTTTATACTAGCAATTCATTTTTATTTTTGAGTACATTTTTTTATAGATTTTATATTGCACGTGGAACTTGTAGTCAACATCACATAAATGCTAAATGTTTATATTTATACATTATATTCTTAATAACATTGATTGTAATTTTATTTTATTTATATTCAGTTAATATTTTTCATTTATAACATTGCTTTGTTACTCTTTTTTTATTTCATTGATAAGAAATAATAGTTAAATTAACGTAGTGTAATATAATGTTTAATATCACCAGTTTTTTTTGTTGTGTAATTTATATTTGCTTTTATTTGTAAATTTTAGTGTGGAACGAGTTCTTATAATTCATTTAATACTATAAAATTTAATTTACAAATCTTATTTTTTATAGACTTACATTTATTAAGTATTATTATATTCTGTAGATTAATAGTAATATCTTGTGTCAGTTGGAAGAAAGTGACATATCATTTTGAATTTAAATAATTTAAAACATTTCAAATTAGTTAAAATAAAATTGTACATATTGGAAATAGCATTATTTATTACTTTTTATTAGTAAGAAGTATATGTTTTTCAACAATTGATACAGATAATAAAAGTTAAAAAATTATGATTTATTAAAGCTATGCAATTATTATATTTGCAACTATTATGTTTTTTCATGTACTATATACTTTAGAAAATATTTTTAATTTGACATATAAAAATTATTTTAATTTATGTGCAGAATATTGAACTAGGAGGTATCATGTTGGAAAATACCACTGCCAAGCGACGTGTGAAGGTTTCAATTCCTGTTAATGGTGCACAACAAAATATTGAACAGAAAAAATCACCTGCACCATTTTCAGAAGATCGAAACAATTTAAATAATGAATTTTATATAGATACAGAATGTTTATCGTTATGGCAGCATCCAATTACTACATTAAATTACTTTTTCCGAGAACTTTTTAGTAACATATTCAGCTTAGGAAAAAAGGCATTACATCACAAAAAAATAGTATGGAGTATTGTATCAATAATTATATTGTTTCTGGTATTAAACAGAATTTCTGGTCCACATCAACAGGTATTTTTTCATATTAAATTAAATCATTATGAGTTAATATTGAGTTGTTTTGCGCAGTTTAGAATGCAAATATGTCAGTATTAATGCCCTTAGTTTTATATATTTTTAAAATAACAGTTTATACACAAAAAAGTATTGTAACTTTGTTATCTGAAATATTTTTACTACTTGTAATAATAAAGCACAAATATTATTTTTATAAGTATGGCATCAAAGAAGTAATAATATTGGAGGGATACTCCAGATTTCAATATCATCTTCATATTTTTATATAGCATTTAGTTACTAAAACAATTTTAACAGTATTATTTAATGATTATTTTAGCAGATTATTCAATGGCATAGGATATGTTAAAATAATAATGTTGATATTGAAATAAGTGATATTGATTTTAATCGATGTAGTATTATGATCATTAGTTTGCTAAATTATTTACATTTTTTATTTATTAATTTATTACTTTTTATGATACTGTAGGACCACCTATCATAACTTTTTGAAATCGTGTAAACAGTCAATATTACACTGACAAAAGAGTATAACATGTTATGTAAAATATAAAGATGATTCAGATGTTTAATATATTACTGCTGGCTTATTAAAATCTTCTACATTTAGATACACATTTAGATATACATTTTAAGAATAATGTTTTTCCTTAAGTTCTATAGCGTATAACATTTATAATTTTTTATATAAAATAATATTTTTATATTTTCAGATTTTGAGAGCATGGGAGACAAAAATTATTTGGTGGCTATATTGGATAGGTTTAGGTGTTCTTTCAAGTGTAGGTCTTGGTACAGGTTTACACACTTTTGTACTTTATCTAGGACCACATATAGCAGCTGTTACTATGGCTGCATATGAATGTGGTGCTCTTAATTTTCCTGAACCACCGTATCCTGATCAAATAATATGTCCAACAACAATCGATCCAATGTGGACTGCAGGAATATTAAATATTATGAGAAAAGTACGTATTGAAGCTATGCTTTGGGGTGCTGGTACTGCACTTGGTGAATTACCACCATATTTTATGGCCAGAGCTGCTCGAACTAGCAGACACGATGGTAAAGATGAAAAATTTGATCAAGAAGATTTGAAAGAATTAGAAGCCTTAGAAGCTTTAGAAAATGGTGAAAATGTATCATTACTAATACGTATAAAACTAACCATGAAACATTTTGTACAAAAAGCAGGTTTTTGGGGAATACTCGCCTGTGCATCAGTAAGTAAATTACTCTTTAGAATGCTAATATTATTTTTATAATTTTGAAAACTAATGTATTATTTAAAAGCTATACGTTTTTAATAAAAGACATTATTTGTAGATTCCTAACCCATTGTTTGATCTTGCTGGTTTAACATGTGGCCATTATTTAATTCCTTTTTGGACATTTTTTGGTGCTACACTCATAGGAAAGGCTATTATAAAAATGCACATTCAACAACTTGCAGTAATCATAGCTTTCAATGAAGAACTTCTAGATAAATTTATTAAATTATTAGCAATTGTACCATATGTTGGTTCAAAGTTTCAAGAACCATTGAAAAGATATCTTATTGAACAGAAAAAGAAGTTACATGATAAAACATCAATGGTATGTATGATTTTCTTAATTCAGATTTATTGTATTACATATAATATTATATATGCTTATTAATAGCTATTTCACTTTTAGGATGGAACAACAACAATTTCGTGGTTATTTGATAAATTTGTAATGTTGATGGTATGTTACTTTTTGGTAACAATTATTCATGCTTTAGCAAGAAATTATCATCGTAAACGAACTAAACGTACCGATTAAAGTTCAGTAAATACAGGATATGTAATGTAAATGTAAAATTCATTATTAAACAACGTACAGATGAAAATTACTACTACAGCGCAATATAATTAAGGTATCTTGAATAATACTAATATGGTCGATTTTTGAAGTGCATAATACTACTTTTGCAATATAAATAACGCAGTAAGAAAAATTTAATTTTTGTTTTAAATTCTAATTTTCTAGAATGCTTCAAAAACATTGGAATTATCTCCATATTTATAAATATGTATGTATATAAAAATGTACATACATATGCTAGGAGAGATTTACATGCATTGTGTAACATAATACGTGCATTTTACTTTTTCGTAATATTATTAAAAATATTGCAATTTATAACTTGAGAGTTGTTTGTAGAATTTATATTATTATTAGTATCAACAATTTTTCTCATAGTACGATTTAAAAGATATAAAGCTTTTTATAAAAACTCATGCGAATTCTTTTAGGTATCCATAATAGTTATTGAATACATACATTCTTGTCAGCACTTTGTGTCAATAAGATGAAAAAAGTTTCTATAACTTGGTATATACAAAATATATATTACTGTTAAGACTCGATTAAAGCTCATTGTCCTTTTTTCATGTTGTTTACTTTCTTTTTATATCCACAGATATAAAAAGATATAAAAAGTTGAATATTTTGTAATTAGATTCTTCAGTATGAAATCAGGAATGTACATAATCAATCATATGGTATTATTAACTTTGAGACTTATTTAGGGAGCAAAATTAAAATGTTCATTTACATGTATGGAAAAATATTATGTAACAACCAGAGGTGAATCCAGAAGCTGTGGCGAAATGTATAATTATTTATATATTATAATCAATGACTCAATTATAGTATGTGTGGTAAAATAATTTATTTTATTAAACATAAATCAAATATAAAAATATTAAAATCTAACGATATTAAGATACTGATGAAGACAATTCAAGTTTACAATATAAATGAAGTTCTTAAAGTTTTGTAATTTCTAGATTCACCTCTGCTAATATCTGAATCTATGATAAAGTTATTTTTCATGATTTCATATAAATTAATATGTTTTGTGATAAATACATAGTAATGTAATATAGATGCAATTGTCAGTTTTTCACTGTATATCTTTATTATTTGCAAACATTAAATATTGTTCATTACAAAGCATTTAATGAATGGACATATTGTTAGTTGTAATTCACAGATTTCTGGAAATAGAAAATTAAATATAAATTAAAAAAATCTTATATTCACATTTAAAACTTTGTATTACATTAATATTTAAAATTGATTTAAAGACATTCCCGATATTCACTATAATATTTGATTTATATGTATGTGTCATTTTCTTTTATTTGTAGCACACGAATCAGAATATTTTATTAATAATTTATTAGTTCCTAATATTGATTACAAAGATCGTGCTGCAAGATCTTCATGAAATGTAAAAATATAAATATCTTTTTAAAATAATTACATATTTCTCTTACATTAACATAATAAAAGAAAAGAAATTTAGAACTGTGTATAATTACAACTTTATACCTAATTTATAGGAAATCAATATAATTATTATTAAACATATTTTAACAACAATTTGAAATATTTATTATAAAATTCATGTTAAGTACTAATTATATGTTAAGAGAGATAGGCGTAATATTAAATTATTTTAGTTACAAAAGTGGTATTTCTGCAAATGATGAATGCTTACATGTTAAAAACAAATCATATAAAGATATATGATGTAGCTTTATTATTAATACAAAAATAAGAACTATATGAAAACATGAAAAACTACGATATTTTGTAATGTAATAAATATGAACTTTATAAACTTACTGATATTTAAATACTATTACATTATTAATAATTTATGTAAAATTTTTTCTTCTGGATTCGAAGAAGGTAGTGATGAATAATAAAAATTTTATTCGAATTGAAAAAAGTAATGTAAATTTTATTATATTTTGAAAAGAGTTTTACTGCTTTAACAGTTAATATTGTCGATATATAAAGGTAAGGATATTTTGTACGTTATGTAACAATTTTGTGATAAATAGAATTACGAAAAACATTATAAATACCATTCAGAAATATTTATAAAAGGTAACAGTAACTAAATCTAAAACAAATTATAAACTAATATATTAAAATATGTTACATTCCACAGATAATTATATTATTAAATGTAAACTTATACTATATAAAAATATATTTATATATGTATGATAGGAAGTGTACGTATAATTGAAACATTTGATACAATTTATAAGAAATATTTAAATATATTTTTCACCAAGTTATTGAAAGTAATAGTACATTTAGAGGTAAATCTTTTCTTTTTAATAACAATAATATCATTTAATTTTATAAGATTATAATGTATTGAGAACAGATTGATTTATATTAACATTGAATGCTTTTTAAAATATTGAACCTTATAATACTGATACAGAAGGCTAACATTTTCTGTTAGGACCATACAATAATATAAATAAAATAACAAATTTATATCAGAAAGAATAATTTTTGTAATCAATAGTCAAAAAGAAATTGCAAACTTTAATCTGTAGCTATAATTTAATATTTTATTGTAAATATATTGTAAATATTACAGATTAAATATCATAATGAAGTGTTGTCTTATATAGAAAAATAAAAAAGTTCCATTTCAATAAGAGTTATTTTGATTTTAAATGATTTTCATACTTATAATTAGTATAGCGGTATTGTAATTTAATATATACACCACTAAAATGTGAATTTTAAATTGTCTTATATGGGGTAAAATACCTAAAATGAAAATTTTGAATTTCTTGTAAAATTCACTGTATGAAACAATATTTGGTGGAAAAGTTACATGTATGATATCAAAGAGATAGAACATTACAGTAAAAATTATTTTGTAAATGTACTGACTTTAAAGATTTTAAAAACAGCAAAGGAAAGCCAATTTTTAATTTCAAAAACAAATTTAATTCAATAAATAATAGACATTTTAAAAATTCAAAAATTTTACATTTATAATAAACGTACAAGTACAAACAAAATTTTAAAGAAAAAGGAAGTGTAAGTTGATATAACTTTTGAAAATATGAATATGCAGTATAAATTATAGGTTTTATAAGTATTAAGTTATAATTAATAAATGACAAGAAGTTTTGGTTACTATTACACCATCATTTTTTAAACTGCTAAAATATTTTATCGAGATTAAAATCCATTTGTAGTTAAGATAATAATAAAAGGAGATATTAAAGTGTAATTAATATTATTTATTCACGGAATAAATTTTATATCATTTTAATTATTTATTACTATATATAATTTATAACTACATTTTGTAATTTATTTATCGATACAAGTGATCAGCATGAATATTACTAGCAATTTCTGATTCCCATTTGTCTCCATTGTTCAAAAGTTTCTCTTTGTTATATAACATTTCTTCGTGTGTTTCTGTCGAAAACTCAAAATTTGGACCCTAAAATGTTATATATTATTAATTATTACTACATCAATTTCTTATCTATATTTATTAATAAAGAAGAAAATCATTATTGCAATATCGTTTTATAATATTTTAACATTTCATAGTATTTAATCTAGAAAATGTTCATACATATATAAAAACTTTTTGATTTTATTTTCATTTTAGTATCAATATTTTGGTATGTACATAAAATATTATTAGAAATTATTAAAGAATGAATATAGCAATAAAGCTAATAAAAGTGATCTGTATGTATAGGTAATTATTAGCATATCATTTATTACCTCCACGATTGCATCCACTGGGCAAGCTTCCTGACAGAAACCACAGTATATACATTTTGACATATCTATATCATATCTTGTTGTACGACGAGATCCATCAGCTCTTTCTTCTGCTTCAATAGTGATTGCTTGAGCTGGACAAATTGCTTCGCATAATTTGCATGCAATACACCTTTCTTCTCCTGAGGGATATCTGTCATAAATTAAATCAATGCACAGTTATTTTATTCGGATTATATAGAACATAATAGTTTCACATTTTTATTCAATCAGTAAGCTATATGTCATAAATAATATATATAATATATATAAACATTTTAATGTATATGAAATATTTATGTATACATTTTACAATGTTATAATTCAAAGAGTACATTCTTTAGATCATATATTATAAAAATCTTCTATTTTAAATACTGGCATAATTTCAATTGAGAAAGTAACATTAAAATATTAAAATTGAATAATGTTAAATACACATTTTTATACTGATACCTTCTTAATGCATGTTCTCCTCTAAATCGTGGGCTTAAAGGACCTTTTTCAAAAGGGTAATTTATTGTTACAGGTTCTCTAAAAAAGTAGGATAGGGCAATTCCTAAACCACGAATAATTTCTAAGAGGAATGCTTTCTGAACAGCATTATCGCCAATATCTTTCCATGTTTTTAATTCATCAAGTCCTTGAACAACATAATATTTGTTTCGAGCTGACGGTACACTTAAAATCTTTGGAGCGTGTCGAAATAATTTGAGACCTGTAAAAATTACATTACAAATCAATAAACTGAAATAATGCATTATATATTTGCATTCCTTTATATTATTATGTCACATAGTATTTGTTTAGTTTAGAATTACTAGACTGCAAATATATGTATATGTAAAGATATAAGTTATATGTCTTATATACTTTTCTTTTGATTTTAGTTTTACCTGCAATAATTTATTAATCATTTATGATATTTTCATGTAATTACTGTTACATGATCAAATTAATACCCTAAGGAAAATGAGCATAAAGTAACACAAGATGTTAGTTTAATTTTATCATTTTCAATTCATAACAGTTTATTACTTATAATATGATGTCTAAAACAAGGAGTTCTAAATAAGTCATGATAAATAAGTGAATTGCTAAAATATTAAACATAAATTTTATTATTAATAGAAATATCATATAAGAAAGCATGTAACAACCAGATTTGCTATGAACAGAGAAAGAAAAAACATTTATGCTATACTATTAGTAGCACTTCCTTTGAGTTTTTCGATAAAAGAATTATACTTAGAAAAAATTTGGAATAGTTTATTAATAGAAATACTAAAAAATATATTGATATGATATTGGAGTAAATTAAAAAATGTTCTGGTTGTTTCTACGATGTATAAGGATCATTTCTTTGTTGTAAATGTATTATGTTTGATAAACAATTATTTTCAACTATACTGCAGAATATCTCAAAAAAGTGACTGTTATGTATTGTAATACATACTTCGATAAATGAAAGTTCATAATAAAATTATTGATATATGCATACATTCCATATAGTGTTTGTATATTTGCAATCTAATCACTGCTAAATAATATTTATAAAGTAATTTTGTAGGTTAGGTTATGTTCTTTTATAATGTAATAAGAATTGTGTATAAAACGTAAAAGTATCTAAATTAATAATTCAATAAAACTTTGTATTAAAATGAAAATATTATTATTAGATTTACCTGGCTGTATAATTCTGAGAGATGTCATGTTGCAATGTTAAGAATCAATCCGCCTGGTGTAATCAGTTTCTTCAACGCATATGTCTTATTGCTACAATCACATGCAAATTAATAATAACTTTCTTAGTACTATACAAATTATTCTAATTTCTACCTTATATCAATATAAAGTTCATATATAAATCTTATGTAAGCAGAATCACTACTGAATTGAAAGTGTCACTACACTAGTGACATCTATCATAATTTTAAAGCAAATATGTATTTGAAAGATACAGTCAGTTTCTCCATATCTATAGCACAGTATACTGCGTCTATAGTATAAATCATATGTGTATACAGAAGTGATTGAGTACTTTTTACATACTCAAAATGTATAATTAAATGTTTGGCTAATTAGAACTATAAAATATAATTGTATAATTTTGTATCTACTTGATACATTATTTTTATATAATTTTTATTAATGTCACCAGTTACTACAGATTATATTTGTAGATAATGTTACTATCAAGAAGTAAAGAAAGATTAATTAATATGACGTATAATTGATAAGTATATTGTTGATTTACATGCAAAGATGGGTGAAATTGCAGCCAATTTGAAAGTAGTTCGTGATAAAATACTTGCTGCTTCTGCTAAAAGACCTTCAGTATGTTATAATCATTTTTTATCAAGTATTTTATAGTCAAATAGGTTTATTATTTACATTATATACATCATAAGCATAATAATGTTGTGTATACTTAAGCATAAAATCATAACATTTTTTTTGTAGGAGTACAAGTATTTTGAGCCATGTTTAGTAGCTGTAAGTAAATTAAAACCACCTGAATTAATCATAAAAGCTTATGAGGCTGGTCAAAGACATTTTGGAGAAAACTATGTAAATGAATTAGTAGAAAAAGGAAATCATCCAAACATTTTAGAAAAATGTGCACAGATACGTTGGCATTTTATTGGCCATTTGCAACGTAATAAAGTAAATAAAGTTTTAAGCATTCCAAATTTACATATTATAGAAACAGTAGATAATGAAAAACTTGCATCTGCATTACATAATTCGTGGCCTAAATTTAGAAAACATGATGATTCAAAATTGAAAGTGATGGTACAGGTTAATACCAGCAAAGAAGAAGGTATTAGATATTAATTTAATATAATATTAACTGAATTTTCCTAATAATTAAACACAATAAGTTCTTTTCTTAATAGACATTACTCTTTCAGAAAAAAATGGCTGTGATGTTGCAAATGTTTGTTCTTTTGTAAAGTATGTTATTGATAATTGTCAGAATTTAGAATTCGTAGGGCTAATGACAATAGGCATGTTTGGATATGACCTTACAAAGGGTCCAAATCCTGACTTTTTATGTTTGAAAGAATGCAGAGATAAAATATCTAGGGAATTGAATATTGATGTAACAAAAATAGAATTATCAATGGGAATGTCAAATGATTTTGAGCATGCGGTAATTTCAAAAAAGATTATTTTTAAATTTTTTGTAAGTATATTGAATGTAACAGTAAAACACAAAATTAATTTTATACAGATTGAACAAGGAAGTACCAGTGTTAGAGTAGGTACTGCTATTTTTGGAGAAAGACCAAAAAAGGATACCTAGAAACAATACATGTATATATTATTTCTTGTATTATATTGTAATAAATATATCTTATATTTATAATAACATAAGAGGTAAGTTAATTAATAACTAAAATAAAATAAAATGAAAAATTAAAATATTGATATTTACAACTATGTAGTTATTGTTACAGTTGTAAAATTGTGATTATAAAAATAATAAGCACAAGTTACTGAAACCATTAAAAATTATCATTTTTTAAATTACTAAAAGAACGTCAAATTTAATAATATAAATGATTATATGATGATAATTAATTCAACACTTAAAAATAATGAAAAAATTTGTACCTGGCAATAGGAAAATAGGTAGTCAAACCTTCTAGCATATTGTACTTCTATGCATGGGTAAAGGACAGAGACTTAGTGAGACTTTTCCCAGAAAATTATCGACGTGATCGACTCTTTTTATGGAAAAAGTCTGGTATGTACGTTTTTTTATGATGTACAATAAATAGAAAGAATTTACGATTATAATTTTATCGGCATTAATTTTCATACAATAATTAAATTCTCCAGATAAAAAAAATTAAATTCATGTTGGTAATTTTTCCAAATACTGAATGGCTGATTTACTTCTGAAAGAAACGAAATTCTAATCATTTTATCTATTACTTATTAACTAAAATTTGGTAATTGAACAACAAATTTCGATCAATATCAATTTACTTAACAAATCATGGGTAAAGGATTATAAAGCGAATGTAAATCAAATTACGAAGATATATCGAAAAACCTGATAATCATTTTCATCACCTTTTTCGACTTGTTGAGGCTTAAGTAAAAAGTGACTTAAAAAAAATATTACAAATGATTTCATAATATGCTACATTAATTTATTATTGCCTAATGAATTTTGGTTATGCCTAAATTTATAACTAAATAGTTTAATAAATGATCAAAAACATGTACCATTGTTTACGTCTAAGCTATAACATATATATATACATATGTAGTTAAATTTAGTCACCTATCATCAGTATACATTTTGACGAAGTGCCAACTTTAAAACAGGCAGGCGGTCTGAAATGCCATATGAGCTAGTCAATTAAATACTAATCTAAAATTATGCGTTCCCTTTTTAAATGGTAATAAAATTCTTGAAAATTGCACAATAAACAGTAACTAAAAATTTATGTACGTTTACTTGTTTCTGAAAAATTCTCTACATATAACAAGTAATCATTAGTTATATTCATTTACAGCATAATGAATATAGTATATTTTCAACATACATTTTATAGATAGAAGCTTTTCAATTTTTCTAGTTTTACTAACAAATCAAATATGATCTTTATAATCTACTGAAATAAATACACTCTTTTATTTTAAATATGTATATCAAATAATATGAAAAAATAATTAAATTTATGCTTTTTTTTGTTAATAATTATTCGTAAACAAGATATTAATAAAATGTGTTTTATATTATGGATGTATATAGTGGATAAAAAGTTAGAGGCATTATTATAAAGTTTAAAGTATTTTTATTATATGAACAATAATATGGAGATTCGAAGTCTTGCTTTTCGACAGATTCCCTGTTTCTACTTCCAAGAAAATATTCTATAACCGTTCGTTATTTAATTGATGTTAATATTGAATATTTGTCTGAAGTGAAACTTTCTGCTTGGAGAACAATATAAAAGGAATAATTACGTCTCCTCTTTCATACGTTGTTTTTTAGAAGCAGATCAAGCGATTCTGACGCTAACACGAGACTTCGTATTTAATGAACAGAGATTTAACAGTATTTTTACGCTGAAAATCACTTAAAATTATTCTTCATCTTCATCACCCGTACCAGTCAACATTGCGATAAGGCTTTGCGTGTCAATAAATCCTTTGTCGTCAATATACATATTATCATATGCATCATCGACTTCTTTCGCAGTAAATTTGTCACCATATGTCATCAACGCGTGCCTCAATCTATAGCAAAAACAGAATAATTTTCATTTTATCTAAAATTCTTGACAGAGGTTTTTCAATTAGAAAAAAAACACGGTGTCTCAGGTATAAACTTGACAGCAGGGAATGCATCAGTCTTAGATCGTACATAGGAATCATCATAGACACACGAAATACATAAAAAGTCTTACCAGATTTTCCAAAATCTTTTATAAAATGCTTTTCTCATATTTCGCGGGTTAATAAGAAGTATGGACCGGAACGGATGAAACAGGAACAAAGTTAAATGCAGGAGCGGTAAGAGAAATCTTACCGGGCGTATATGAAGGAATATGTCTTTAAGTGAGGACTTGCGAGAATTGGAACTTCGGATGATCCCTCTGGTGGCGAATACGGAAAGTTCATGTTTCCAATACTATTACTCACCTTTCACCATCAATTTTACCATTCACATCAAAGGTACTAAAGGCAGCAATTACAGTTTCGTCGTCATCCGTACCTAAAATGAAAACAAGTGAATTAATGAGTGTAATACATTACACTAATTAAAATTAAAGCAATTGTTTGAACTTGTATTTATATTAACGTTTGCAACCTTAGATTTATATTGTACAAATAAGATTAAAATTTTTAAAAGCTTTGCTAATATAGCTTTTGTAATAACGTACCCGATCCCGACATACGAGTTGCAAACAGATTCAGCAACTGAGTAAAGTTGATGGGCGCAGGTGCTTCGTTCAACATATCGTCGAGTTCTTTATCAGTAACGAGACGACCTACATTATCGAATGTCGCACGGAGGTCGTTCTTTCCAATTATACCGTCTTTGTCTGCATCCATAAGTTGGAATGCCTACAAAAATGATTACAAAATATATTTGTTTGAATATATATCAACAATAATACAACACTTTTTTACAATATAATACTTTTTGTTCAGTTAGAATATATTATTTAATGTCGTTTGAAAAATTGTTAAATAATTGAAAAACTATTTTAATATACATACCTCCTTGAATTCGGCAACTTGTTTCTGCGTGAACATAGAAAACACGCTGGAGCCACTGCGTTTTGCTTTGCGGCTGCCGCGGCTACTTGCTCTAGTTGAACCAGATTCTTTAGGTGTACCAGTAGGAGTTGGTGGTTTCTCTTCTGCTGGAGGTGGTGCTGGTTCAGGTTCAGGAGCAGGAGCCGCTGCGGGCTCCTCCTTCTTTTTGGTCTTCTTCTTCTTCTCTTTATCCGCCTAAAAATGAATTTTAATAAATTAAATAAAAATAGTAGCAATGATGCGCACGAAGTCACTTGACACGAACAAATTTGCAACGGTGATAATAATAGATGTGACATTTTCAATAGATGGTAAAAATGTATGAAGCTATTTCTACAATTTGGGTTTTTTCAGTAATAGGGTCTGCGTTCTTTGCAGCTTTTGCACTACTGCAGGCTTACATTTGTTCTGATAACTTCTAATTTATTGTAAATTATATGAATAGTATCTTATTTGATTGTTAATAAAGTATCATCTTATTCGATTGGGAATGGTGCTGTATATAGACCTGCTTTGAAATTCAAAATAAAAAAACAAATACAATGGTAAAAATAAATGTCCTAACTTAGTAACCAACCCAAATTCCTAGACCTAGAAACATCAGATTCTGAGAATTTTTTTTCCATTGCATACACCGACTAAAAAGAGACTTACGAAATTCGACTTCTAAGAAGATGAAAAGCTGTATATTATTTATACATCTTTACGAGAATGTAGAAATGAAGTTAACATTAAATAAAAATTTAAAAAGAAATAAATAGATCCGACTTCAAAAAAAGTAAATTGTAAAACGAATTTAAAAATGAAAAATAATAATTTCGGATACTATGCTATTATAAAACAAACTCAGGGTACAAGAATGATTTGTAAAATAATTTATCTAGGCAACGTTATGAAAAATTTATGTAGTTAGAAGTAATTGTTTTTAAATAACAAACGTTTATAAATTTCGAACTCTATGAATCACGAACAAAGCCATGAGAATGCTAGCTACCATTTTTAGTCTTTCCTTATCTCATCAGAAATTAGTGTAATTGCAAAAAAGAGCACCTTTATAATTTAAAATAACCTAGATCCTTAATTACGATGAGTTTAGTGATCTTAATGTTAACCCTTTTAAATAATTGATCATCTTTTATAATATTCATAAAAGTTTTAACTTCTTTAATTAAATTCCAAAGGTTCAATATAAATTGTTTAAAAAAATTGTTTAACATGTATGGTCATAGAAACTATAATAGGAACAAATTACCATCTTCTTCCGATCAAATTCTAATTCGGTATGTAGGAAATTATAACTGGGGTAGTCAAACAATAAAAGCCTGACATGCCAGTTATTATCTAATGTTTAGCTGGCAGTGGGTGAGTTTAAATAACATCGAAGAGAAATTCGGAAGGCGTTGCTCATAGAAACTAAAAATAGGATCATTCTATCATCCATGGTATGGCTGAAAAGAAGCCAAGACATATATAGATCGTTTATTTCGTACGGCCTCTCGAGTTACTATAGTTACGTAATTCTCTTATTTTTATAATACATGTAACGGACATACGGAAGTTAGAAGAACGGAAGTACCGAAGATCGTTTATGTTCACTCCATGAGAACTTGCAAATATACCGATCAGATGATGTCCGTCAAAAGATAAAATATATAATTGGTTTGGAAGATTTCTATATCATAAATGTTTCTTTATTTTATCAAATTGCAATTTTTACAAGATAAATATATATGTTCTGCAAAGAGAAACCGTAAGAATTACGTTAAAAGAAAAATTCGTTAACTTAGAATTAAATTGCAATTTTGCTTAATCAGGGGCTGAACGGGATAACATAGAAAATCGAAAAGAAGATCTATAAGAACCTGTAGATACAGTTAAGATGCACAGTTCGAAACAAAGCAAATAATAACATCCAACTACGGAATGGCGAACCGCCAAAAATCTAAGGAAGATCACTGTTTACACTTCATTAGCACAATCTGCGATGTCTTTGGTGCAAGTTTGCGCTCTGATGAATTCATCACTTGGCATACGATTCCAACACAGTTTATATAAGTCATCGACTTTCCTGAAAGTTTAACCCCCTACGACTGATCCACCACTATTCACATATCCGATACAGAACATTCCAATTTTTTTTCCCTCGTAACGTTTCACTTCTAGAGGGAACTTAACGAAGAAAATGTTTCGCGTACTTCCTGGTGTACTCGGCACTTACTTACCATGTCTACAGTTGGTTTGTAAGAGGATGGTGCGAGATGGTCACAACGAACCAACTGTCGGAATCATAGAGGTGAACTTGGCTAAGTAACTTTGGTGGATCTCCCCCACTACATTGCTGGTGCTTGAGCAGGGGTGCCTTGCCCGGGTATAACGCCAACGCCTATCTGACCATATTTAGTGCGAGCCATCTCAAAATAGCAACCCTTTCGATGTTTCGACTAAAACAGTTTGCTGAGGATTGTGCGAACGACGAGAACCTCTTACAGCCCCTTTTTGTAGCTGAAATTTGCTTTACAGAATGAAAATATGAGTCAAGGATACCTCGGAAGGAGGAAGATGATTACAGCGATCTTGGTCTCGGCGCTTTCTGTTGTGTCACACGCGCGCCGCCAAACAAGGAAGTAACTTTCTTCGTCGTCTTCTTCTATTACCGCGTGTATAATCATTAGTACAAATAAATCGTTCTACGTCTTTGAAAGTTTGGTTACAGTGCAAACTGAACGAAGAGTCCGATTATGTCATTGTACGCCTAGTTAATTATGTGGAGCAGCTTCTTCGTTTTACACTTGGAAAATTCATAAAATGTATTTTGGATGTAAGAAGCTGAGAAACACATAATTTTTGTATGAATTTTGAATATGTTTAATAAATATTAACTTGAACAAAATGTTATGTAATTTAGCAAATATTTACGTAATATAATAAATATAATGAAAAAAGTAGTGTAACAATATAATATACCGTTTTAATACTGATTATTGTATTTGGAAAGAATTTTCAGTTTGTGCACCAATGCCCAAAGCACGTGGCTACTACAAATAACTATCCAATGTTTGAGAGCAGAAAACATCGGTCTATTTTGTGTACATCACCAAGTTTTCAGCACATTTTATCACCAGTTTTCTTATTACATTTATTTTAATGTCGTTTTGATGATTGAATTATATTATGGTAATTATAACACAGAAAATATATTAAAATTATTCATAATATTTATAATTGCATAACACATTCTTTTCAAAATATGACTATTGGTTATATGTATACATCAATGTACTTTTCAAAATACATGCAATCTCAAAATTAGACAGAAGAGACAAATGATATAAAAATAACATAGGAACTAAAATTTTGTGAATTAAATTAAGCCTTGTATATAATTTGATTATTTAAATAATATTTAAGTGAAGAATATTTTCAGTTTAAAATTAAACTTGTTTAAGATATTAAATCTTTTTCTATATTACTATCTTTAAATTCTGTATATCATTATTGTTATTATTATCTATCATAATTCCTATATTTAAAAGTAATTATATTATTTTTAATAAAGCAAACAATAAAAAATGAAATTGATACCGAAGAAAAACCAATCATTATTTTTGGCTGATCCAAGAGGATAGTAGGTCGCTTGCGAAGAAGATAGTATCTACCTGCTATTCAGGAACATATTCTTAACATATATTGATATTATTTTTAAAAGCAGAGCCTTATATTGTTAAAATTATAATCAATTGTTTTTTATTATTGTCCTTTTACTTTTTAACACTTCTCAAAATTGTTCGTTGTTCAACTTTTTTTATTTTCGAATTATATTATTTATCATTCAAAAAGCGATAAAATAATAATGAAAAATTTTTAATGAAGTTAAATTTATTTTAAAAAATAAAGAAGGGAGTTCGATTTAAGCCGACGTAATTGACGAAACTCAACAACGTTCGAACTTTTATTTTTAACTCCATTTAATAACAATTGGAAAACGGTCGAAAAATAGACAAATTTGTTATGAGAGTTTAAAATATGTTTCTTAGATAAATTTTTTTCAGTAATTTGTTAAAGATGAATTCTAAAACTTATATTTTAGAATTATTTGCATCTTATATTTTTGGTATAGACTGAGGGATACAAAAATTATAATTAAAAATATTGTACGCGTAACATATGTGTAGGTATTTAATTAAATAAAATAATTGATTGAACCTACAGTGCTTAGAGAAATATATTTTTCTGATATATTAAATATGGGAGAGGTTACAAAGATATCAAGTTTTCTTCTTAATAAAATCGCATAAATATATTTGTTTATTTAGATTTTTAACATAATTAAAGAATTCAACAGTTATAATTATATTTCAGGTTATCTTAATTTAAGGAACAGGATGGAAAAAAAAGGGAAAAAAGATAAAAACGCTATACAGTTTTTTTATTTATTCTTTGCACCCTCAAAAATTACTATATGTTATATTTAGAATGCCATGTATATTATAGTTATAATATACCATATAATTGTAGTTGCTGCTCACTGATCTCAACAAGAAAAGCTTGAAATTATTATAATTGTTGAATGTATATCTAATTGCAGTAAAAAGTTAAAAAAGTAATATAATTTTATGAAAAGAAACAGTTTAATGATTTTGAAATGTTCATGTAAATAATTATGAAACTTTTACTAAATAATTAGTTATTCGAAACATTTAAATACTAGGAAATTAACCTTTTTATATTATAAATACTTTTTAAAAATATTCATACATTTCATTTTACGCTTATCATTTTTATATGATTCTACAAAATAGTTTAATTCATTTCGCAAAAGTCTATCATTAATTAAATACAGTACGCAAGCATAATTTCAAAACTAATAGTAGCACGTATATTTATATTTGCTAATAAATGTATACGAGTTATCGCAAACAAATTTCAATCAATATTTAGAATAAATATTTACAATACAATTTAATGGGAATTGCACTAAAATTGCAGTGCTTCATATTACTTTGAATAAAATTTGATTATGTATTTTCTATATATGTACATTTCAGCTAAATTATAAATTATAATACATGAGAGTTTTTAATTAATATTATTTTTGCTATTTGTATATCTCCAAAAATGTTCTTTTATCAGTTTTAAAAATATATGACTATTTTTATCAATTCAGATGATTACATAAACTAACGAAAATTTCCTCTTTTTTTATATAGAAATAAATAATGTATGTTTACACGTATTGCTGTCTATGAATGAGTGCATCTGCAGTCAGGTCAGCTGATCCATTGAATGTATTCAGACACTTAAAGTTTAAATAGCATGCTCCGGAAGTTGATTAGCTTATTCTTCTAGAACAGAGGCAAATTACATAATAGTGTCATCTTTTTTTGATACAAGATATAAGCTTTTTCAATTTTCTCCAATTTTGTTGTAAGGCGAAGTGGAGTAAGTGCAGACTGGTTTTTGTAAAATTGGTATTTAAACGTAAGTATTTTCAGTCTGCCATGTAAATACTTAACGCTGAGATATCGAACGCTTTACACAATTACTACTATTTAATTAATATTAACTAGGACCTTAATTTTCCTTGTACATTTTGATTTTGATAGGAAATTGTTTAAAATGTCAACTACTCTGCACTTTCCCCGAAAATGGGGTAAGAGCGTAACTTGAAGTTAAATACTTTGAAACTTTATTTCATGTGCAATGGGGCAAGAGCAGAATTATTAACAAATCTGCTATAAAATGCTTTTTTACTGCATTATGCAAGTACTCTATACTGCAAACAAGTACTCTTAGCTGAAATATAAAAGGGGATATAGTGAAACAAAACAAGAAAACAAACATACTAAATGGAGAAATTTCGCTCATATTGTAATAAAAATAGCCTGTATACGCACTTGAATTATAATACATGAGAGTTTTTAATTAATATTATTTTTGCTATTTGTATATCTCCAAAAATGTTCTTTTATCAGTTTTAAAAATATATGACTATTTTTATCAATTCAGATGATTACATAAACTAACGAAAATTTCCTCTTTTTTTATATAGAAATAAATAATGTATGTTTACACGTATTGCTGTCTATGAATGAGTGCATCTGCAGTCAGGTCAGCTGATCCATTGAATGTATTCAGACACTTAAAGTTTAAATAGCATGCTCCGGAAGTTGATTAGCTTATTCTTCTAGAACAGAGGCAAATTACATAATAGTGTCATCTTTTTTTGATACAAGATATAAGCTTTTTCAATTTTCTCCAATTTTGTTGTAAGGCGAAGTGGAGTAAGTGCAGACTGGTTTTTGTAAAATTGGTATTTAAACGTAAGTATTTTCAGTCTGCCATGTAAATACTTAACGCTGAGATATCGAACGCTTTACACAATTACTACTATTTAATTAATATTAACTAGGACCTTAATTTTCCTTGTACATTTTGATTTTGATAGGAAATTGTTTAAAATGTCAACTACTCTGCACTTTCCCCGAAAATGGGGTAAGAGCGTAACTTGAAGTTAAATACTTTGAAACTTTATTTCATGTGCAATGGGGCAAGAGCAGAATTATTAACAAATCTGCTATAAAATGCTTTTTTACTGCATTATGCAAGTACTCTATACTGCAAACAAGTACTCTTAGCTGAAATATAAAACGGAATATAGTGAAACAAAACAAGGAAACAAACATACTAAATGGAGAAATTTGGCTCATATTGTAATAAAAATAGCCTGTATACTCACTTGCCCGTTTACGCACTTTGCCCAACTTCACCTTATCTTATTATTTGCTGGCTTTTAAGTGCTTCTCAAATTTTCATGATACCTTTTCTCGTAAATGTTCTTTTGTGCGAAAAAAATATTTATCCAGTATTTTTTATATGTGGTTTTGTGAAATTTTATTTTACACGAGTAAATAATCAATAATTCATATAATAATGTAAATAATCCTCCATGTAATAATATAAATAATCAAGATTAACATTTGTTTAAATATTATTACATCATGGACCTTCATATTTAATATGTGTGCATATATGAACACAGGTTTGCTAGTGTTTGCTAAAGAAACACTGTGGTAATACAATGAGAAATTAATCTTATAACGTTAATTACTGGTATAAATATCCTAAAATGTTCAAACGCAAATGTTTTATAATAGCCTTAATACATACGTATTTTTGTGCAGCAGTGTAAGTTGGGTCATCATTCTATAGGCGCATACTAATTTCATTTAGTTGATTTTAAATAAAAAGAGCAGCGGGAAATAATAGATACTTTATCTAAAGCAATGTATTTTCTTTCATTCTGTCTTTCAGCAAGCAAAATATGAATATAAAAAGACTAAAAATAATTTTCCTTGATCGTGAAACATAAATATTAGATGAATATAAAAATAATTACGATTTTTATACCTCAACTTTCAGACAGTACTAGAATAAAATTAAAAGAAACAAGAGTTACTAAAATCTATTTTACTAAATCGAACGTAACAATAATATAGAACTCACGTTTAAAAAGGCTGAATAATTATAAATAATAATCTGCAAGTTTTAATAAATAATTAAATCAATTAACATCTAATCACTTAGTATATTATGAAATAAAATAATACTATTTACACACGAATAAACACTTAACATACATATATTTTGCAATTTCCTCTTAATTAATTAATTTCTTTTTTTCTTTTCGAATATTCTAAAATAGTATTATAGACATGAATCAACTATAAATAGTGTACATTGTACACGGTGGATAAAAGAGAAATGCTTACAAGAGAACCGTCGTTTTTCGTCCTTAGAAACTCCCACCACACCGTTCAGAGAAATAAGAAAGTACAAGCAGTGTTGCCTTAACTGGTTTTCACTGTAAGGTAACAACTTGACGTAGTATGGGTTAAGCTATAAGTTAGTTAAAAAATGGTTTAAATATTATTTTAAAACAAAAAGATGTGGTGGATACTTTTGTTAAGCTATAGTAAGTCAAATTTCTAATAACACATTAACATATAGATAAGAAAACATTTAACAATAGAAGAAAGTTGAGTATTCAAAGGAATTTTCATAAATTTTCCTGAGAAAAATATAACATTTCAGCATTGTTCCATTTATCAGACGCACAGATGTGTAATTCGGTCAGTCTGAAAAATTTGTAATTTTAACATGTTTTTAGAGATATATTCGTAAAACATGATTGGAGCACCGTTGCTATGCAACGTATATGTTTATCAGTTTAACATAACGTTAGAAACAAAAGAACATTTAACATATGTACATTTGATATGTTTCTGAACTCTGACATAAGAGGATATGATTCATATGAATGTGGCTGTACAATATGTAATTTAATATATTAAAATGATACATATGGAAAATTAAAATCAACTATAATGTTTTTTCCATTTGTTGAAAATGTAAAATTAAATTACATTTATCATTCTCGTGAAAAAAACGTTTTTATAAATTCATATTTTATTTACGTACGGAAATGTTGCTATATTAATTCTAATATTATATAATTTTATTTCAAATTAACTTAAAATACAATTTGTTCAGATCAATACGATTTGTTTAATGTTAAATTAAATTTTTACTTGTTTTGTTAGTTACTGTTGGATATTCATTACGACTCACGGCGTACATTTCATCTGGCGGGCTTCATGGAGAAATTCGATTTGAAAAGGCTACGGAAACGTCCGTGAGAATCCGATTTTCGCTTCAAGCAACTCTTCAATATCCTGACCAACAATGGTTTTGGTCAGTTACTCAATTTCCTGTCGATTATACGCTTATAAATGACAGATGCGACAGGCAACATCTCGGAGAGAGGTACTTTTAATTTTATCAATAACAAATATTGATATCGTTCATATTATTAAAAACGGACAAAATTTTAGTATTATTGATTTGACGGATCTTGTTGGACCACTCGATATGCCTGGAAATGAAACAGGATCGGTAGAAGTTTCAAACATAAGTTTAACTGGAGAAATGGGCTTGTGGGGCAAAGGTCTACTACTTAAGGATACATATTCAGATAGGACTATTTGTGCCTCGATTACGGTAAAATTTTAAATGAGGAACCGTAAAATTATAGTTTTAACAATATATAATTGCAAATATTTTTATAATTCTTCAGGTACTCGAGAAAAATGTTGAAAAGTTTGCGAAAGCGCATTTTTATGGAAATATAGGAGGAACCATTTGGTTCCGATGGTTGGGCGGTCATGCAGGTGATAATACTAGCGATACAATTATTTATGCAGATTTATATCACGTAAATAATAAAAAATTACAAGATGTTGATTATACAGAGCATAACTGGAAAATTTATGTAACCGATATTTTTGATATTAGCAAAGGTACAATTTGTTGTGAGATATATATGATTTATAGCCGTTGATTTATTTTCATTCAATTTTCATTTATCTATGATTTAGATAAATCCAGTTGCAATATTTTGCAAACTGTGTTTGATCCTGATAATGCAGGAAATGGAGAAGGTATTGGCGACATCGATGTACGCTTAGGTAAAATAAAAGTGGCTACAAATCATCATAAAAGATATAAAACTCTGTACAGAGATTCAAATCTATCGCTGCTTCCTGCTGATTTGCTTGGCCCTCATCGCCTATTATATTTGGTAATTTTTCACCCAACACACGATGATTCGTTTTTGGTTTGTGCGAAGATTAATCACCGAAAAGCTATTCTCGCCAAGTAAGAGTTTATACGTTGCCATTTTTTCATAAACAAAAATACGTTACAAATGATTTAAAATAACTGTATTTCAAAATTTTAAATGCATTTAAAATTACTTGTAAAAATTGAATTGTAAAAATTTTTAATTTGATCATAATATTGTTTATATATACATATGTATATATGCATTATACCCACACAAACAATATTTATGTATAATTATTTATATGTAAATTTATACATATATTTATCTTTTTACATTATTACTAACATTGTTTTACTAAATAATTACTTAATTACTACTTTACATCATTTTAGTAAATAATTTAATGTAAACATTTTTTGTAATATATAACTTATCTATTTTTAATTTAATTTTGTTTCATTTGCTAATCTTTAGGACTATGGTTAACACTAATGGTATTAAAGGAGAAGTATCGCTAACTCAAATAACTCCATTCGATCCAACATGGGTTAATATATCCTTAACGCCAATTAATGATTTGGAAACAAGACTACGTTATGCTACTAAAATAAAGTCATATAGGATTCATGAATTACCTCCAGAACCAAATGCTTTAGGTAAAACTACTGAAATGTGTGAAACAACTAAAAAAATGTATAATCCAAGTAATATTGATGAAACAACTGCACCACCAGCAGGTAAAATAATTAAATATATTCCTTTTTTTCATTTATTTATTTAATGTGGAATATTTAAATAGTGATGTGAATTAGGACTTGGAACGCAGGACCAATATGCCATTGGTGATCTTTCTGGGAAACTTCAAGGTCGTAAAGAAGGATCGTATCATTATGATATTTTAGCAGGAAGTGCTAAACTCAATGGAATCTATTGGGATACATATCTTCCACTTTCAGGAGTATATAGTGTAATTCATCGTGGTCTTGTACTTCACAAGTAATATCTTGCATATAGTTTTTATATTTTATATTCTTTATTTTTTATTTATATGATTGAATACGTACATAATAATACATATTTATTTCATTAGATATAATGAAACTGATAATAAGGGTATTATACCATGGATTTGTGGAACTTTGAGTCTATATTTACCAGATAATACTGGACAAATGCCAATATTAACTGCACAAGTAGTGTACAGATACCCTATTGTTGGTAGAATCATTTTTCGCCAACCAAAGAATGATCCTCAAATGGATACTACTATTATGATTGAAAACTTAGTACATGCAGATGGTAATGCTTTAAACAATTCTGCGGACCACAGGTATAATGTTTAACAGTATCTACTGAAAGTAATACTACCGAAATTGAATATCAAAATTTTAACTTGATTGTAAACATTTAGATGGATGATCCATGACAATCCACCAGGAAAAGATTATTATAATTGGACCGGGAGATGTTTGAGTACTGGAGAACCTTACAATCCTTATAAAGTATAATAACTAATGACATAATACGTATTAGATGTATTATTATGATGCTAAAAAATATGTAAAACATGTGCAAATGTTTCATTCTAATACTGTATACTTAAATTTATTAGGTAGAATGGGATGCAAAACAGTCTGAATATTGTTCATTATTAAAAATAACATCATGCCGTGTAGGTGATTTAACAAGACATGGTACAATTGACATTGCTGGTAGAAAACAATATGGAGCTTTGCTAACACGTAAACTTTTTACTGATACAATGATATCTTTATCGGGACCTAATAATATATTAGGAAAAAGTTTAGTAATATATGATGATCATGGACCACTTGCTCGAGGAGAAAGATTAGCATGCTCAATGTAAATTTAATAGATTAAACAAACTTTAAAAATTTAGAAGAAACTTAAAATATGATAACATTTTACATTTATAAAAATTATAACATTGAGTTAACACTATTTTTTTACATCAATAAATTAAACATAAATATTTTTATACAGAATTAGTGAAACCTATCGTCGCAAAGCTGTGGCAAAAGATTGGTTTGGAAATGGGGAAAATATCTTATTAAGGGGAAAATTAGAATTCATACAACAAACTGAATATGATATCACAAATGTTGAAGTAAATCTTGATGGTCTTGATGGCAAAATGCAGGGATATCACATACATATGGTATTGTAAATGTAACTAAAATCACTTCCTTATTAATTACTATAATAATAGTTAATACTTTTAGACTCCAATAGAACAAGACTTAGAATTTCCATGTGAGGGTACATCTTTATATGAAACTTGGAATCCATTAAATGTTAGTACAAGTAATATATTACATCCTACTGAAGGAACAACTGATCAATATAAAATGGGTGACCTTAGTGGAAAATTTGGAACTTTAGAAAACAGGAAAAGGTATATGTCAGCTTTCAATGATACAATGCTTCCTTTGTTTGGACCAAAAAGTATATTGGGTCGAAGCATTGTAATTCACAAAAAAGAGAAAAATTTAAGGTAATTATTACAAATTCTCTAATTTTGCAATATTTATGAAAGAATTTATTTATTAAATATTTATAATAATTCTTTCCTTCAAGATGGGCTTGTACAAGTATAGAAAGAGGATATTCACCATCTGAAGCAAGTGAACTTAGAGCAATCGCTTCTTTCCATCATCCACAAGGATTTGCATATGGTTACATACGAATGGTATTATATATTTAATAAATAATAAAATATATGAGTATGCTTTAACATTAATAATTACAGACACAACTTGTACATCGAGATGGTGGCCAAAGTGAAACAATAATTGAAGTAAAATTACGACATCCTGGTAAACATGATCGCAACATTGTATGAATATGAAATATTTAATGATAAGTATTTACATATTAATAAATTTTGAAATACATTTAATGTTTAATTATAGACAAGAAACCACAATTGGGCAATATATGTAAACCCTGTTGGTGTAGATGCAGCTGTTAAAGTAAAAGACACTAGATGTGTGGCAGGTGGATATATGTGGAATCCCTACTTTACCCAGTTAGCTGACCCACTAAATGTAATACTAATTAAAATTATATTTAATATTGTTTTCATAATATAAAGTATTTTGGTAACAAACTGATTTTATTTTGCAGGATGATTTATATAAACAAGAATGTGGACCTGATTTACCATTAAGATGTTATGTGGGTGATATATCAGGTCGACTAGGTCCTATTAATATAGGACTGAAAAGACAAGTTTTTACAGATTCCAACTTTCCTTTAGCAGGACCTGTATCTGCAATGGGAAGATCCATTGTTATTTTTGACCAAAATTTTGGAAGTAACAGATTTGCTTGTGCTAATATTGAACCAGATAATGATATTGTAAAGTACACAAATATAAGAAAACCACCTCGCTTTGTAGTGTAAGTACATATTAATATCATATTTATTGTATCTTTTAATAGCAATTATTATTTAATGAAAGTATTCTGAGATTAAATGTGCACTCATTTTTTATTATAGAGCACAATTTTTAGAAGATGTAAGAAAAGTTATGGGTATTCCTGAATGGATGTTATCAATAGATACTAGAAAAACTAAAATTTTACACAATGGAGCATGTATACAATTCTTACTACATTTTAAAGGTAGATAAAAATATTTATAATCTGTTATAGAATATTTATATTAATTTGTAATTTCATGTTTTTAGGCCCAATTGCTAATAAATTAGAATTGGATTTTAATAAACTTATATCTACTGGAAAATTAGATGCACCTAGTTTATATATTCATGGATATGTTCCCACAAAACGGAAAACAACTTCAGGTTATCGTCAATGTGGAAGTCGAGACCCAAATGATAAAAGTAACAACTTATATCGTTTAAAACATTAGTCTCATTTGATTTTTAAAATAACAAGTACGTTTCATTTTTTCAGACTTTAATCTATTGCTTCAAAATGTATCTTCATTACTGTTACCAGAATTTATTATAATTGTTGTAACATTTACCATTATCAACATTATTTAACAAATATGAAATTTGAAATTCATATAAATATATAAAATACAAAATGTATATGTACATATATGTAATATATTTATACACAAATTTTATAAAAAAATATTGTGCCTATAATTTTCACGAATGTGAAATCGATATATTTTAAATTGTTATGTACTATTTTATTTAATAAAAATCTGATTATACATATAACTTTAAGCAGCAACAACATAAAATAGAATGAAATGTTTTAAATCAGTGTGTCGAAAGATTTGAATTAACATATATTCATTTACACTTTAATACATATTCCCTGTATTGAACTAAATATTACCTGTATTGTATAATACTCTGAATGCCAAATTCAGTGGTAGAAAACATGCTGCATTAAATCCTAAAATAAGTCATTAATTTTTTGCTCTATTCAATAAAAACACATAATTATACAACGAATTTTCAATCATTCTGCGCATAACATCGCAGTTAGTTCGAGCACAGTTTATAATCGAAAACAACGCGCATGCTCTGTAACAACACTTCTTATATTAAATGTATATACTTAGTGAGTAAGAATTTTGTATGCTTATATTATCACCTTTTTCTTCTCTATTCACATATTTTTGTCGACCAAGTATATACTTAACGAAATGGAGAACATATGAGTAGGGAGAGAAAACTAAGTAGTGGGAAGTTTATTGAAGTTAGTTGAGATGCGCAAATTGAATACGATCTGTTGAATAAATAACATAGGAGTTTCATATTCCTGTTTGTGTTACGTAGTTTTTGACGGTGGAAGTTACAATCAGAAAACGTTATAAGAACGCGTATAAAATTTATAAAAAGCAATAATGTATGCTCTAGAAGATGGTAAGAATTTTATTACATATATTTTTGTGCATAACACTTCTATGACAGTAGAAAGAAGTTAAATGATATTATTATAACCTAAATAGAGCTTGTTTTATAGGTTATAGTTTGTATTATATTTATTATCCAATTGAATATATTTTTATCTACCCAATTTAAAATAATTAATTTTAATAATTGGCAAGAATAATGATTAAATTTATTGTTTTCATTTAGATCAATATGACGATGAAGATGCAGAAGAGATTTCGTCAAAACTTTGGCAAGAAGCATGTTGGATCGTTATTAATGCTTATTTTGATGAGAAAGGTCTTGTACGTCAACAACTTGACAGTTTTGATGAATTTATTGAAATGTCTGTTCAAAGAATCGTTGAAGATTCACCACAAATTGATTTACAAGCAGAGGCACAACATACTTCTGGTGAAATAGAAAATCCAGTTAGACATTTGTTGAAGTTTGAACAAATTTACTTATCTAAGCCTACACATTGGGAGAAAGATGGAGCCCCATCTCCTATGATGCCTAACGAAGCAAGACTTAGAAATTTAACATATTCAGCACCATTATATGTAGATATTACTAAAACGATTGTAAAAGATGGAGAAGATCCTATCGAAACACAACATCAAAAAACATTTATAGGAAAAATTCCAATTATGTTGAGATCAAAATATTGTTTACTAGCTGGTTTATCTGATCGTGATTTGACAGAATTAAATGAGTGTCCATTAGATCCTGGAGGTTATTTTATTATTAATGGATCAGAAAAAGTGCTAATTGCGCAAGAAAAAATGGCAACTAATACTGTTTATGTATTTAGTATGAAAGATGGCAAATATGCATATAAATCAGAAATTCGATCTTGTTTAGAACATAGTTCACGTCCAACATCTACATTATGGATTAATATGATGGCAAAAAGTGGAGCTAGTATTAAAAAATCTGCTATAGGACAACGTATTATTGCAATTATACCATACATTAAACAAGAAATTCCTATTATGATTGTTTTTCGAGCACTTGGATTTGTAGCTGATCGTGATATTTTAGAACATATTATATATGATTTTGATGACCCTGAAATGATGGAAATGGTGAAACCTTCACTAGATGAAGCTTTTGTAATACAAGAGCAAAATGTAGCTTTAAATTTTATTGGTACAAGAGGTGCAAGACCTGGAGTAACGAAAGAAAAACGTATTAAATATGCTAGAGAAATTTTACAGAAAGAAATGCTTCCACATGTAGGCATAAGTGATTTTTGTGAAACTAAAAAAGCTTATTTCCTTGGTTATATGGTACATCGATTACTTTCAGCATCTCTTGGCAGGAGAGAGTTAGACGACAGAGATCATTATGGAAATAAAAGATTAGATTTAGCTGGCCCATTATTGGCATTTTTATTTAGAGGTTTATTTAAAAACTTAATGAAAGAGGTGCGGTTGTATGCACAGAAGTTTATAGACAGAGGAAAGGATTTTAACCTTGAACTTGCTATAAAAACTAAAATTATTACCGACGGTTTAAGATATTCACTTGCAACAGGTAATTGGGGTGATCAAAAGAAAGCTCATCAAGCTAGAGCTGGTGTGTCACAAGTATTAAATAGATTAACATTTGCATCAACACTATCTCATTTACGAAGAGTAAATTCTCCAATTGGAAGAGATGGAAAACTAGCTAAACCTCGTCAGTTACATAATACTCTATGGGGTATGTTGTGTCCAGCAGAAACCCCTGAAGGTGCGGCTGTAGGTTTAGTAAAAAATCTGGCATTAATGGCTTATATTAGCGTTGGATCTCAGCCTTCTCCAATTCTTGAATTCTTGGAGGAGTGGTCTATGGAAAATTTAGAAGAAATTGCACCAAGTGCAATAGCAGATGCAACAAAAATATTTGTAAATGGTTGTTGGGTTGGTATTCATAGAGACCCAGATCAATTAATGGCTACTTTACGTAAATTAAGACGACAGATGGACATCATTGTATCAGAAGTATCTATGATAAGAGATATTAGAGATCGTGAAATCAGAATATATACAGATGCTGGAAGAATTAGTAGGCCTTTATTAATCGTAGAAGGACAAAATCTTTTATTAAAGAAAAGACATATTGACATGCTGAAGGAAAGAGATTATAATAATGACGGTTGGCAAGAACTAGTTGGCAGTGGAGTTGTTGAATATATTGATACTTTAGAAGAAGAAACTGTCATGATTGCAATGTCACCTGAAGATCTAAGACAGGAAAAGGAGTATGCTTATTGTACAACATATACACATTGTGAAATTCACCCAGCAATGATTTTAGGAGTATGTGCATCAATCATTCCATTTCCTGATCATAATCAGAGTCCAAGAAACACTTATCAAAGTGCTATGGGTAAACAAGCTATGGGAGTATACATTACAAATTTTCATGTTCGAATGGATACTTTGGCACATGTACTATATTATCCTCATAAACCTTTAGTTACTACAAGATCTATGGAATATCTTAGATTTCGTGAATTGCCAGCTGGAATTAATAGTATAGTTGCTATATTGTGTTACACGGGTTATAATCAAGAAGACAGTGTTATTTTAAATGCTAGTGCTGTTGAAAGAGGATTCTTTCGATCTGTATTTTATAGATCTTATAAAGATTCAGAGTCTAAACGAATTGGTGATCAAGAAGAACAATTTGAAAAACCTACACGACAAACTTGTCAAGGAATGCGTAATGCTATTTATGATAAATTGGATGATGATGGAATTATTGCTCCAGGTATTCGAGTATCTGGAGATGACGTAGTTATAGGTAAAACTATTACTTTACCAGAAGCAGATGATGAGGTATGTAATATCATATTAATGTAGTTTAATATTATCATATTAAATATCGTTCGTTTATTACTAATATTACTATTTTACATATATTTACAGTTGGATAGTACAACAAAACGTTTTACAAAACGAGATGCATCAACTTTCTTACGTAATAGTGAAACTGGTATAGTAGATCAAGTAATGTTAACATTAAATAGTGAAGGATATAAATTTTGTAAAATACGAGTACGTAGTGTTCGTATACCACAAATCGGTGATAAATTTGCTTCACGTCATGGACAAAAAGGCACGTGTGGAATTCAATATAGACAGGAAGATATGCCATTTTCATGTGAAGGACTTACACCAGATATAATAATTAATCCTCACGCTATTCCATCGCGTATGACAATTGGTCACTTGATTGAATGTATACAAGGAAAAGTGTCAGCTAATAAAGGTATTTAAAATCATTTCTTAAAAAATAGATAGGAAATATAATAATACAATTGTGATGTATTATTTAATAGGTGAAATTGGTGATGCCACTCCGTTTAATGATGCTGTAAATGTACAGAAAATTTCCACACTTTTACAAGAATATGGATATCAACTAAGAGGAAATGAAGTTATGTATAATGGCCATACAGGCCGCAAGATAAACGCACAAGTGTTTTTAGGTCCAACTTATTATCAGCGTTTGAAACATATGGTAGATGATAAAATTCATAGTAGAGCTCGAGGTCCTGTGCAGATTTTGGTTAGACAACCAATGGAAGGTAGAGCAAGGTAAACGAAACTATATACTATAAGTATTTGTTTTATTTACTACTATAAGTTACATATTTTTATATCAATATGTAATTTGCAGAGATGGTGGTTTACGATTCGGTGAAATGGAACGTGATTGTCAGATTTCCCATGGAGCTGCACAATTTTTAAGAGAACGTTTATTTGAAGTCTCAGATCCATATCGAATACACATATGTAATTTTTGTGGTTTAATTGCAATAGCAAATTTAAGGAATAATACATTCGAATGTAAGGGATGTAAAAACAAAACACAGATCTCTCAAGTTAGATTACCATATGCAGCAAAGTTACTTTTCCAAGAACTTATGGCAATGAATATTGCACCTCGATTAATGGTAGCATAAACATCGATATATTTATTTCCATAGTATTATGAATTTTACATTTGAGCATCCTAATTATATGTAAGTTATTGTAATTATATAAGTTAAACAGCTTTTAATAAACATTAAAAGTTTCATAGTGACATTAGTTTGTATATCTTTTGTATTTTATAATATATTCTATTTAAACTTGTAAAAAAATAAATTTTTTAAATAAAATTATAATTCTGTTGTTGTATTGAATGTACGAACATTCAAACCAAGATAGCTAAATTCTTAAATGATTATATATCAGAAAACACATGAATTACGAGATTAAATATAAAACTTATACATACATATGACCTTTTAAGCTGATAATTTATAAACATATGATGATGTATACTGTAAATCTTAAAAATGTTGATCAAAGAATCTTTGGAACTATTTACTATACTTTAATTTCTACCAAAATATCATTAAAAATGCAAAGGTTGAATATTTGGGATAAAAAATTCATTAGGCAATATTTAAATATATTAATTAATATCACATTGATTAAAAGAAATATGTATTGGTAAATATAATGTGTAGAACAATATAATGACTTTTTTTATCTAGTGACAAATGAAAGGTAGAATTATGTAGAATTATGTGGAATAGGTAGAATTATGTATACCAGAACTAAATTTAAATCAAAGTCAGAAGTTTGCAATAAATTAGTTAAAATATTCAGCAAATATAATAAAATATTTAATAAATGACATACAGAAAGTACTTCGTTAAGTTTGATAATTATATATTATTTTTTATATTTAATTTTTGTTATATTTAAATAGATTGTACGAGACATACGTCTAAAATACAAAATTTTGCCCTACATACTGGGCATGTACATTTGGATGTCAACCACGTTTCAGGTGCATTTTCATCCTGTCTTGATGCAAACCTGTAATAATAGTTTTATGCTTAAAATATAATAAACTGTTACATATATAATTTTATGTATATTCGTTAAATATTAACCATTTGGCCATACAATCTATGCACCACATTGGACGGCAGTAACACATCATACAGTCTTCTGAATTTCCACTTCCTATACCACTACTACATTGTTTACGTAGTTTTACATTTGACATAACTTGCATGCATCCTATACATTGACCTAATTCCTTTAAATATTTTATTTGTAATTACTTAATAAATACTATAAAGTATTAAATATATAAAAAAATTAATACCTCAGCACATTCATAAAGTGGATTTTCTTGCACTTGTTCTTTAAAACTATCAATAAACTTATCAAGTAAAGTTTTATGAAATGTAATATTTTGTAATATTGTAATAGGACGTGAAACTTTGTCTTGCAAATTTTTAAAATCCAATGCATTCAATCTTATATCAAAAGATTGTGCTCCTGTTCTTGTAGACTTGACCTGTTCAAAATTTGTTAATTAATATAGAGAACAGTTTTAAAATAATATAAATTAAATTAACTATGTTTAATTTAAATATAAAATATACTTCAATATTGATAAATTGAACTTCTCCTCTTGTTGCAAGTGACATGTCATGAGTATCACTCTTGTTAACTATCAAAACTGCATCACTTTGGTGAGCAACCAATATTTTATATGGCATAACTTTAATTATCCAGTTATCCGTTGCTATTATACATATTATACTATTTGTGGTAATTATCATTTTATCTATTCTAAAACAAAATTACAACTTTATAGATTCTCTTCTAATATAAAGTGCATAAATAAAGTTTTAAATTTAATATATAACCTTCGATATTCTACATTAATATCGGAAGCTACTGTAGTCCATGCTACATTGTTATTGTTATTGTTACTGTTAGAATAAATTGCAAGATTTTGTGCTATAGGATGTTTGCTCCAGTTATTCATTGACCAGATTAAAATTTTGTACAAAGTACACAGAGGCATAATCGCAGTGCAAATAACAAACAACAACCACATATTTTCATGTCCAATATCTACATGTCCAAATACAATTAATCCAAAAGCATAACCTAAATAAAAGAGGATTCATTTTAGTTTTATACATGGAATAATATATAAATAATAAAAAATATGAATATATTTACCGAAGGGAAGTATAGAGTGTACAAATACCGTAACTACACTTCTTTTTATATGATATTGTATAAAAAATTCATTTTCGCTACCTAACCAAGATGAAAATATATCTTTTATGGTTAGTCCAGCTGAAATAAATTCTGTAGGTGGATATATAATGCATCCTGAGATTAAAATATAAAACAAAGTGTAAAAGAAAAACGCAGACATGTTTTAAAAAGATACAGTTTCAATTCTGTATGTTCACTTTTTTTCACCCGACCATCTGAAAAACTTTTCCATGAGCATTTGACATCTTGTGTTCAGTTGTGTTTAATAATCAAACACTATACATATACATGTGTATATACACTATGTAGGTATTTAAATATATACACACACACACACACACACACACATATATATATATATATAAACAGAAATAAGATCTGTGCCGGAAATTTGTTCGTTATACTTTTATTCTTAATGAATAATTGAAACGAAAAAATGTACAATTGTAAGAAAGGGAAACTAACAGTAATTTGTATACAAACAATTATTAAAATTAATAAACCTGTTGTGGATGTAATATTTTTGTAAATATATGAATATATTTACATAAAATAAAACTTATAATACTTTAGTAAAAATATATTACATCAATTTTTTACATTACAGGTTATTTTACAATGTAATTAAAAATTAAAGGTATATAATCACCGAATTAAATAACAAGTAAGAAAAGAGGTTATAAAAGTAAATATAAAATGCTCTTTCATCAATAACGATACAGTGTTTATCACAATTTTCATATAGAATAGTTTGGGTCAAAGACCCGACTTTGTTGTGGAATGGTTAAGTTCTTTGTTTGATTAACGCCGTTTAACTGAAATAATAGGTGATATATATAGATATAATATTTATGATGCATCCTTATGAAAGTAATTATCCTTTTTTAACCTTAACAACATTACTTTTGTATATAAAAACTAGTAAATGAACATACAGTTCCGTAATTTCATCTTCGCTTTAGAAATAATCTTTTACAAAATACCTGTATGTACTGTGACTATTTACAATATTAATGAAAATCAGCCCATAATTAATTCTATATTTTGGATACAAATATATATGTATAGTTAATAGTTTATGACAGTCCACAGAATCTGCAGTATTTGATCTTTTAATATTGTTACAGACGTGTACTTATTTATAATGATACTAACAGTTATTAAATAGAAATGATTTATGTGGTTGTATATTGAAACAGCATGATCAATACAATTATTTTCATGGCCTTAAATGTTGTAAGTATTTTTTAATTTATAATTCCATCATTGAGAACATTTGATTTTTTAATACTTAGTTTATTTATATAATGTAATCCATTTATACTTTCTATTAATTAGTTTAATATATATGATGATTTTTATAAATTTATATTTCTTAGGTAACTACCTGTAATTTTTAATCATGAGAGCTGTTCTATTATTTTTAATTTTAATTCAAACAAGAGGAAAAACAATTCAAACATGTCCAAAGTTTTGTACATGTAAAGTTGGTGCGCAAGCAGAATGGTTACGTGTTAAATGCGGAAATGAGTTGCAAAGTATTAAAGATATTAATATTGATAGTGTCAGTGTGGAATTAGTGCAATTGTAAGATTGTTTGTTTCATAATGAAGTAATATATATTTGTACTGCCAAACGTTTTTATTATTTTTAATGATATGTTATAGGGATTTGAGCAAAAACAACATTTATGTCATTGAAGTTAATATATTTAAGAATTTGACAAATCTCAGGCGCTTGAATTTATCACAAAATGATATAACATCTATTAATGAAGGCTGTTTTAATGGTCTTGGAAATTTAGAGAGACTGTAAGAATATTAATATCATTGAATTGTATATTATTTATTGTTAAATTTATTAATTTTCTACATATACTTAATTGTAGGGATTTAAGTAAAAATCAGATCTCAACAATAGATACTTATACATTTAGAAAATTGCCAAATTTGAAAAGACTGTAAGTTTACAAATTATATAAGATGCATTTATATAAATTCTTATATGCTTGATTTTACTTTATATGTTATGTTTGAACAAAAAAAAATCTATGTGTTATTTGTTTGATTATTAGTGATTTATCAGGCAACAACATAAGTGCAGTGAAACCATCATTATTTCATGATTTGCTGACTTTAGAGCGCTTGTAAGTGAGTTTCTGTTTTCAATTTTCAATTTATTACTTTTGCATTATTTTTGCTAATTACAGATATTTCAAGTAACTAAAATTATAGATATTAAAGAAACCATTAATTTTTAAAAAACATTATAGGAAATTAAATGAGAATAAGTTAACAACCTTAAAGGAAGGTACTTTTTATAGCCTCAAGTCTTTAAAACAATTGTGAGTAAAATATATATTATACAATGTGAGTACCTAGAAAACATGATCACCTTGTTTTACCAAAATTTTAATGTATGTTTTAGAGATTTATCCAATAATCCATGGAGATGTGATTGTGAATTATATTGGTTTAGTAATTGGATATATAATAGCTCCATAAAATTAAAGTAATATATATTAAGTATATTAAGTAATAGAAAATCTGAATTTTTTCTCATTATTTATAGAATATTTTTTCAATGTTTCAGTCCCGCTCCTAAATGTGTGTCACCTATAAATGTTAAAGGACAATTTATTAAAAAATTAAGATATTCAGAAAATTTGCAGTGCCAATCATCGTTTCCTTCAATTGAACTTCGACCAGTTCACAATCAAGTAGTATTTGTTGGAGATTCTATAACTTTAAAATGTGGAGCACCTGGTATTACAGAAGATAAAAGTGCAAAATTGAGCTGGTTATGGTATCCTAATACTACTACAGAAATTGTGGATTTAAACGAATTTATGGATCCACAAAAAAGTTTATCCAACATTAGAATCGATAATAGATACCTTAAAGATAATGGTATTGTGGACAGGTACTTTAATGTTTAATTTAAATTAAAATTTTTATATATTTATAGACAAGATGTATCATCTAAACTTCGCTACCTAAATATCTTCTTTAATTAGAGTAAACATATTTCTGCTTTGATGCCATACAAATTTTATCTAAAATATTGTTTATATCATCACTGAAGAAGATGTTTGAATAACTGTATTTAAATGGGATATCTAATATAGCTGCATTATATTTTTGTTGATAGTACACTCAGTATCATCCCAGTCAAAGAAGAACATAATGGACAGTGGAATTGTTTATTAGTTTCTGTAAATGGTAATAGATCGCAAGCAATCAGTATAATTGTTATTTCTGATAAAACCCGTTATTGTCCTTTAGCAGGTAAGTTACATTATACATCTAATATTACAATATTATTATCTAATAAACTAAATAATTATTTTGCAGTGACTAAAAATAATAAAGGTATTTATACTTGGCCAAGAACTGTAATAGGATGGAAAGCAGAATTACCGTGCGAGGGTAACCATATAAGTATAATGCAAATGCCTTTAAAAGCTTCTTACCAATGTAATATCACAGGATATTGGGAAGATTTAAATACAGATTTATGTCCTTATGTATCACATACAACAAAAAGCTTAGAACAGTTCTCTAAAGTTAATCTTTCACTTACAAAGATTAGTTTAATAGAAACTGCAAAGAAATTCAAAAATTACACAGGAAATGCTATACAAATAACTGATCCTGTTGAAATAAATTTTATAACACAAACTATAGAAAATTATTTAAGTTTTCTAACTGAAGAAAAAGAACTTGGTGCCATATTAATTGACGTTATTGATACAGTAATTAATGTACCAAAAAATATCTTGAACAAAGCTGAAATCCTTTTTAAATCTTGTACAAGATTAATTAAAAATGTAGAAAAAATCGTAGAACTTAGTCCATCTATACAATCTTATAAAAAAAACATAGCTCTAGAAGAATTCAGAGTAAAGCGAAGTAGTTTTACAGGACTATTATGTACGTGGTATTCCAATAATGATCCAGAAATAAAATTTTTGCAATGTACCACAAACAATAGAACATCTCCAATTGATATAAAAGATAGGACAATTGAAGCTTCGATACACTTGCCAGCGTCCTTATTACAGCATTCACCAGAAATTGTTAATTATCAATTAATGATATCTACGTATAGTAATAACAGATTATTTCCTACATTGAATAATAATAATAACATGGATATTACATCATGTATTATTGGAAGTAAATTATGTATGTAAAGATAAATAATATAAGAAATACATATTAAGAATGGAAGGAAACAATATACGATTTAAAATTTACTTTCAGTTGGAATATCAGTACAAAATTTAACTGAACCAGTATATATCATGTTAAGAGTTCCTTTATATTATTATACTGGAAAAAAACCATTGCCAGTAGTTTGGGATGAAACATTAAATAAATCTGGTGGTTGGACAAATGATGGGTGTCATTTAAGAAGTATATTAAATAATTTAATAATATTTCATTGTAATAGATTGGGATATTATGGACTTTTACAAGATACTTCTTTGCTCAATCAAAATGGTAACAGGTATGTATTTAATAAATTTCATATACATAAATTTTCATTTTTAATATTTGTTTTTTTATTTTTAGCATGACTGGAGCACAGTTTAAGTATTCAAATCCTGCAATATATATTGGAAGTATTGCAGCAATAACGTGCTTAATTATTATTTCTGTTACATATATCATTTGTTACACATCAATCAATATGCCTAAGAAAGCAAAACATTGTGTCATTAATACATGGTTTGCCATGGCCTTATTATCATTTTTTTATAGTATTGGTATCTATCAAACTGAAAATATACAAATTTGTCAAGGTGTTGGTCTTACTCTTCATTATTTGTCTTTGTGTTCTTTACTATGGATGGCAGTATTCGCAAGGTAATAATTTTATATTTTATAAGTAAAGTCTTAAATAAATGATGTAATACAATAATATTAAAAATTTGTTTTGTTTACAGCAATATGTATAAAAAGTTTTCTAAATCAAATCTTGAAGATATGCCAGACAATGAACTTCAAGATCAACCAATACCCAAACCAATATTAGGACTTTATTTAGTTGGTTGGGGTATAGCTATGATCATTTGTGGTATATCTGGTGCAATAAATTTACAAGAATATGCTGGATATTCATATTGCTTTCTCACGTCTGGTCCTGCTCTGGTTGCTCTTTTTGTTCCAGCTGGAATTCTAATTGTATATTTAATTGTTTTTCATTTACTTATTAAATGTGCAATTCGAAGTGTCGATACAAATGCTCAATTGTCAGAGGGCACGCAAGCAACAGAAAATATGGATTTAGAATTATTGGAGTCAAACACAAATCCATCTACAGATAAAAATAGTGTTCACAGTACACAGACAGTTCTGACTGATGTTGAAGATTCAGAACATTCTCAACTAACGCAATTAAAAGGCCAAATAATTATGTTAATTCTTTATTTGATGTCATGGATTACTGCAGCAGCTGCTATTACGAAACCGTTAAATGCATACGTTCCATTTGATGAAACCGTATTTGCTACCTTATATTCACTTTTTTCAAGTTCACTTGGTATTTTTGTATTTATCTTTTATGGAATAGGACGAAATGATGTTAGATCACAATGGTTAAAAATGCGTTGTTGGCTTCAAAAACGGAAAAACCGATGTTGCAGAACAAGAAGCATTTCTGATGCAAATCCTGTAATTCCAACACATTCTTTAGTACAAAATTTTGTACCGCCATTATCCAATTCTCAAGCTACTCAAGTTACATCTGATTCAAATTCTATTGGTTCATCACGATATACAAACAGGTCACAAACTTGTAATGCTTTTAAATTTGCAGATATTCAAGAAGGTGTGCCTGTTGATAGAAAAATGACAAATATGAATTTAGTTGTATTACATCGGCAACAGTATAGATCTGATAATTCTGTCACAACATATATTGAACCAACTTGTGTTGAAATGTTTTACAATCCTCATCAAAGCGGAGTTGCTAGAAAATTTTTTAAAAAACAACGTCGTCATACAAAAAATAATAATCTTGGTACTAGAAAACAAGGTGATGGTGGTGCTGTGAGCGATACTCATAGTTGCATCGCTTTACCACAAACTATTACAAAATTAGAAAGTAATATAAATCAAACGCTTTTAAGCAGTAGTGCAAAAGTTAACAATACAAATATTCACGTTGAACTGAATCCAATAAATGATGTGAAAAATGTTAACATTCTCTCAGATAGTGGTGGAAGTATGTCCGACGAGAAAAGTGTTACATTGAGATTTGTTATTGGTCAAGAAGGTCTTCTACAAAACGTAAGGAAGTATAATAATTGCAGATTTCATGATCCTGTAAGTGTTAATACAACATCAAACTCTCCAAGGAATAATTGCAAAAAGGTAGAAATAGTAAATACAGCTTTACATGATTCAGATATAGATGTTAAAACTGATGAAGAAAAGCACTTACAAAGTGTTTCACAACAATGCAGTTTAGAATACAGTTCTGAAATAGAATCTATTACCCAGATGGCTAGTGAAAAAAGTGATCACAATTTGCCAGAAATTTATGAAATTGTAGAAGCAGTTGAAGAAGAAAAAATTATGAAAAAAGATAGCCAAAGTATAAACGAATTTCATAAAATTGAAGAACTACATTCTAATGCAAAATTAAGGTGGTTGACTCATTCAAATAGTATGTATTGCCTTCCAGTAAATTCTGCGAAACGACTGAGAAATAATTACTGTAATTCAATGAATGATATTACATCTTTTACTAGTTCGAAGAATTGTGACTACTTGAAATTATCATTTACAGACTTGCAAAGTATTAAAAGCTTAAATTTGTACGATAGAAGTAGTCTATCTCAAAGATCACTTAATAAATCTGATATATCATTTTCTAAAATAAGCAGCAGAACTAATGATAATACAAATAATTTAATACAAACAAAAACATATATTAGCTCTTCAATGAATATTGACTGTGCCTCTTCTAATATGTGCAGTAAACAAAAGACTGTTAATTCTCTGACTGACATTACATTACTTATGCCTCAATCTTACAGTATTGTAAAAAGTTTTGATTCTAACAATGATAATGTAAACAAAAATACAAATTTAGACAACGTAGAACATGAAGTCAGTAAAATGTATTTAAGTAATACAAATACTTATCCGCAAGTAGTGAAAAAAGAAACAAGCGTTTAATCCGATTTTACTTGCATGCAACACGTAACGTATTTATATTAATAAAGATTTCATTCGAAATGCGCGTAGAAATAATTTCTAATATTTACATTTTTATTATGGCTAGAAAACTAGTTCTTATTCTGCTTTATTATTATTTCTATAAAAAATAGTTCCTATAAATAACAAAAAATATTCATTTTATAAAAGTATTATGTGCTAATCTTTTTACTGTTTGATGAGTATCAAATATTTCCAATGCATTTTTATTTGTACAAACGTGTAAAATGTTAATTAAACTATTTACAAAATATGTATTTATTCAAAAAAAAAAATGTACATAATTAATACAAAATAATTCTATATTTTTACAGATTTTATATAACATTGATTTTTTGTATTAATTACGTACATTCTTCCTACATAGAAACGATGTTCAAATTTTATGTAACTACAATTTAAACAATCATATTCATTAATAACTGTTTTATTTATCATTTTTCATTGTTTTTATCAATCTTTTGTATAATAAATCTATTGTTATAATCATTGTCTATATAAATGTACAAAAAATATGTATTCTTTTTAAATATTTTTTAACATACATTAGCATTATTTTTTTTTGAATCTATAAAGTATAATTTTACTATATTTTTAGTTTATTATTAAATAAACTAAAATTGTATTCAATTTATCATATAATTAACAGTGTTATATACATTTGAAATACATCTGTCAAATATTTACCAAGATTAACTATTAAATTAGGTTGTATTTAAAATATTAGTCAAAGATCATATATCTATGAGCACCTGCATCACATACAGTTGTATTATACAAGGACATTACTTTTTTATACAATGTTTTCTTATGTTTATAGTGTTTATAAAAAATGTTTTATAAAATGTATGTATTTTGTAAAATGTGAAATCAATATTAGATGAAGTTTTTACATACATAAAGATATGTAGTTTATACATTTCATTCCTTAAATACGATTGTATCCTGTACCTAATTTACTTCCCCTTTATGTAAATGGAAAAGGGAAAAGATGAAAAAAGCAAATAAATTCATTAATTCAATAAATTATAATCATTGTAATTCATAAATTTTATATAATGGTAATTTTAATAACTAATGAAATGTTATTTCTATTAGTGTAACCAATCTTTAGGATTCTTCAATATATCAAGAAGTTTTGCTTCCTTTGAACCCTGTTTTGGTTCATGCATGTATTGCCACTTTGCAGATAAAGGTAAAGACATTAATATACTTTCATATCGTGCACCCGGAGTATATAAACCAAATTTGGTACCACGATCATATATTAAATTAAATTCAACATATCTTCCTCTACGCAATAATTGCCATTGTCTTTCATGATAGCCATATGGATCATCTTTATGCATTTCAACTAAAGGAATATAAGATGGAATAACAGCTTCTGCACATGATTTTACAAACTGAAATGCTTCATCTTGACTTGGTGTATCAACATCATCAAAAAAGATACCACCTACTCCTCTACATTCTCCTCTGTGTGTAATAAAGAAGTATTCATCACACCATTTTTTATATTTTGGATAATAAGATGGATCATGTTTATCACATGCAGTTTTTAAAGTACTGTGAAAATGTTTTACATCATCTTCATTTAAATAATAAGGTGTAAGATCAGTACCCCCTCCAAACCACCATTGAGTTGAACCGTCTTCATTTTCTACTTCAAAGTAGCGATAATTGAAATGTATTGTTGGAACCATCGGATTACGTGGGTGAATTACAGCACTTACACCAGCTGCAAAAAATGGGACAGACTCTTGTTGCATCTTTTTCCCACGTGCTCTCATTTGCTGTACTGCAGCTGGTGACAATGAACCAGTTACAACAGATACATTTACACCAGCTTTTTCAAAAACAACACCATCCTCTAAGACACAACTAATTCCCCCGCCACCTTCTTTTCTAGTCCACCTATCAACTCTAAAACGGTGATCTGAATCTTCTAAGGATTCTAAAGCTTTACAAAAATCTGCCTGAGTTTTCATCACTAATAATTCCATCTTTTTTCTCATATTATTTTTCTTTCTCAGTTCTTTTATGTCAGTAATCGGTTCTGCCATGAATTGTTTAATATTTAATTCATTTTGAGCTGCAAAAACTGTAATATTTGAAATACTATATACTATGATACTAGTAAAGATACCAGCACCAATATTCCGTAAGCTTTTAATTCTATTTTGTACTATGTATTGTTTATGAAAAAAATAACACACTGATGGCCAACGTTTTAGGAATATTCGGGCAACCATGATTACCTGCAATTAACAGTTTCATTTACATCTGTATTGTATATTTTACTGTAATCATTCTGTATAGCAGATAAATAAATACATAAATATATAGAGGATAGTTTATGCAATTGTTTTGAGTTATAACTTAATAACAATATACCTACAGAAATATATCAGAGAAGAAAGATGAATGTTTCAAGGAATACTACAAACCTAAATTTGTTGGAAAAACCTATATTTTTTTAAGCAGCAATAATGCATAAATAATTAACAGTTTTATTATATTTAAAATGAAAACACATCATTTTCTTTACATAAATACATTCCTCTAGTTCTTTGAAAATGAAAAGTAGCAGCATCCACTGGTAAAACGTTTATTAGCTATAAAGGTATTTTCAGAAAATGTGATTATTGAACAAAATGCTCAAATGATTCTTCATTATACTGTACATATTTTAGATAATACTTTTAAATCTTTGCAAATATGTAAATATCTATTTCTGTTATAACAAAAGACATCAATGTTCACAATTATAAAACTATTTAAGCGTCTTTTATGATAATGGTATTTCTCACAAATATTTTTAAAATAATTTTTTTAGTATTGTACCACAATATCTTTTTAAACATTTCTAAGGAAAAAAAGGACATGATCCTATAAATATAATACTAATTGAACTATCTTTCTTCTTTGACATTTTTCTGTAACTGCACTAAAAATAATATTATAATCTGAAACAATTGCATGAATCACCTTGTATATAATGACAAAAAATTGATATTGAAATATACTAACATATCAAGTTTACAAAAATAAATATCATGAATAAATTAATTATAAAAATATGTGTCGCCTTTAAAAAGTTTTTCACAAGTAACATTGATTCTCACTTTTAATCAAAAATACAATTTTAAAAAATCATAGAGGTAATTATTACAGATTTTGCAAATTAATTACAATGTTTACTTTTTTATTTTAAATAGGTTAAAAGGTATAAAATATCAATTTTTCAAGTATTCAAATAAATAAAAGTTATAATTAAAATACAAAATATAGCAATTTTGTATTCCAATTATTAATTATTAACTAATGATATAATAATGAAAAATATGATAAGTTACAATATTTAATAAATTACCAATAAAACACGTCTATAACCAAATTATCAAGATGAGTGTGTAAATATTTACAAATACGTAAAATAGAATAATAGTATTAACAAATATGAAGTTTAAATTTCTGCACGATGAAAATTATTCTTCTGTTGTATTTCAAATGAAAATAAAAATTTTTAAATAATTTGTATTTAATATATACACAAAAAAGTAGACTAATTTCGCGTAGTTTAAAGAGGTTACAAAATTCTTTCACTATTTGTACCACCTCCAGTATACTGGCGATTCCTTTAAGGCTTAAGGATATTGTACGAACGCATGCGCGTTACTGTTCATTATATTATATTTAGCCAATCAGAGTTTATATTAGCAGAATAAACGAAAACTCGTTCAACGACCTTATCCTCTCGTCGAATTGACTAGGCATATTTATTCAATAAAATGCAGATAAAACTTGATAGGTTAATTAACACTGTATATATTACACAATAACATAAAGAATATTTTATATATGCACACATTCAATTTAATTTTTTAATATTTATAAAAATGTGGGTTACTAAGAATTGTAGGCGCTTTCTTAAACACAAACAATTTTGTATACAAATATTGGTATGTTATCAGTTTATATAATTTATATATACACGTTAAAATATTCTATTGATTGAATGTAAATTATTTTTATTATAGACTGAAAAAAGATTGCGATATACCACAAATCCAAACCAAGAGCTTCCAACACCAGAATACGACATAGATTATTTATGTAATCCAGCAAACCGAGATATAATTGCTGCAAATATAGAAGCAAGGAAGGGTATTGGAAATATTGACAAAGTTCTTGAACTTTCACGGAAACCAGAATTCAAAGAAGCATTTTTAAATGAATTAAGTAAAATACCAAACCAAACAGATCCATTAGTATTATCTTATGATAAGGAACCACAATTTTTGAGAGAATATGGATGTAAACGAACATTTTATTTCGAACCACAAGAATTTTCAGTTTTAGCTAAAAATTTAAAGATAGTTAAAAGTGAATCCATGGGTCCTGTAATAGGACAACGAGGTTATATATTTTTAGGAGATTTAGCAGATTTAGAAAAAGCGCTGGTTCATTATACTGTACAATATTTAATGAAGCAAGGTTTTCAACTAATATCAGTACCTGATATTATTCCTACTGAAGTTATACAAAGATGTGGATTAATAATGGAGAAAGGAAGAGCTCTTACATACAATCTACTTACACCTTTCAAACATCAGTATAGTTTGTCTGGAACAGCAGAAATGGCATTAGCTTACAAACTAATGAATACTACATTAAATTCTCATGATCTACCATTAAGGATGGCTGCTGTAAGTAGATGTTTTAGAGCAGAAGTGTCTCACATGGTAGATGAAAGAGGATTATACAGGTAATGTATTATTTTATTTGTTTTTGTTTTGCATATACTTTAATTTAATATTTAAAATTTAAGAATGATTTAAATTGTATGTTATATTCAGTTCTGTTTGTATTTGTTAAGGGTGCATCAGTTTACAAAGGTTGAAATGTTTGTATGTTCTGAACCTGACAAATCTGAAAAAGAATTTCAAAATCTTCAAGAAATTCAAGAAAATTTGTTTTCTAGCTTAAATTTACATTTTCAAGTAATTGATATGCCACCCCATGATTTGGGAGCACCAGCCTACAGGTTTGTGGTATAATATACATATTTAATTAAATTTCAATGTTATTAAAATTATATTACAAGTTTTACATTTTTAGAAAAGTTGATATAGAAGGTTGGATGCCTGGGAGAAAAATATATGGAGAATTATCTAGTTGCAGTAATTGTACAGATTACCAATCACGTCGTCTTAATATAAAATATAGGACGAGAGAAGGAGAATTGGTACATGTTCATACTTTAAATGCAACTGCTTGTGCAATACCTCGTATGATAATTGCACTGTGTGAAACATATCAAACACAGCACCATCGCATTGAAATTCCTGAAGTTTTGAAACCATATATGAAGGAAAAATTACTTATCAAAAAGCAGCCAGTCGCAAATATGAGAACTTATAAGTACACACCAGGCATACAATAAAATATTTTGTAATATATATAATTTAAAACGTAAATACAATAATAATTTGATTTAGAAATAAAATAACTGTTGTTTTTCAATTTATTTTTAAAAATATGGTTTGAACAGCTATCAAAATTATGATATAAATTATTTAAGTACATTAGTATTGAGACATTGTGAAAAATTAACAGATATTTTAAATTAACTAATAAATGTTAGTTACATATTTTATTTTCTCGCTATATAAATATATATAAATAATATTAAAATTATTCTTCGTTATGTCTTGCAAGTAGCATATAAATTTATGTTAAATTGTGTTAAAAATAAAGTAATTATAATTGAATCTATAATTTGAGTCCCAAAATAAATTTATACTTCATGAAGGGATGTTCAAAAGCATGTTAAATGTTTATTATTGTAATTAGATGTTAGAAGTATAGTGGCAATTAAACCAATAATAATTGTTGTTCTTTTAATATTGAGGTATAAAATTTTTGTATAATAACATCAATAAATAAAAAGTATTAGGAAGATGTATGTATAATTAGTTGAATTATTATTCATCTAAAATAGATCTATGAATTGATTTAGTTAAATAAAATTTTTTCATTTGATTACTATTTATTTCAAAATTTAATTTCTATAATTCAAAATTATATTGTACATAGTTAATATATTATAGGAAATTAGGATTTATAAAAACTTCAAATATTAAACACCACCTGACAATATATTTTCTAAAAACTAATACAATATTATCATACAAAGAATAGGGGTCTGAAAATTATACGTACACAGAGATAAAGATCTTTTCTTCAATAACTTGTTATTCTGTATATATTTTGTAGCGGTGTTATAAAAATGTAACACAAAATATTTCTTCTTAAAGTAATACAATTTAAAGACACTGCAAATTTACAATTTATCTCCCACGCTAATCAGATGTTAATGTAATGTTGTCTCTTGTTTATTAACAATTAAAAAATTTTATATACTTGTCCTGACATTGTTTCTTATAATGATATAAACTTTGTATTTTTTTTAATTTCTATTTATCAGTACAATCCAATTTCAGTTCATATTTTGATCCATTTTAAAAATGTTGGATAGAATCCAAACGTATTAATTTCATGATAATGAGGCTTATGTTATTCTGAAAAAGTAAAAAAAAAATATAAAATTAAAAACAAAGTAATAAAAAATTAAACAAACATACTTTTATGCTTTTAATCTTCGTCTTCTCCCGATTCAGATTCTTCTTCTGCATTCTGCAACCATTCAATGAATTTTTTCATTTGATCCAAAAACAGCATTTTTCCTTTGACAGAATGTCCTTCTTTATACCATTTTAAAATTACTTCTTCCGATATTACATCAGCTAAAAGAAAACATATTAAGAATAAGAGAACAAAACCTTATTATACTAGAAAATACATGTATACTGTACAATATGATAACATACTTTTATAAAATAATAGAACAATTTTTTGGAAGACTTTCATGAAATTCATATTTTCGTAACAAAATTCCTGGACCTTGAGAATAAGCGCGAGTTCAGATCTGGCAGTGGTTGTAAAAGCATCGAACAATGGAGTATATACTTTTAAGTGTTTCAGTGCTTGATCAGCTACAAGTTCTTCTTTCTTATTCCATTCAGCTTGACCCATTACAACAGCCCAAATCTATAAATAAATTTTAATGATTATTTTTTGGTTAATTCCAGGATTACAAACATTATAAACAATGCTATAAATAAAAATATAATAATAAACGAAATAATAATTTCAAAAATAAAATTACCAAACCAATAACTTCATGTTCAGGGATATTACTCCTCTGTGCCATTTCTTTGAGATCTAATATAATATCTTTCATAGGACGACCATCGACCAAATCATCCAATAATAACTGTTGCAAATCTCGTTTTGCTTCTTGACTTGCTTGAGCTTTATGTAACTTCACAATGTCTGCAAGACCAACAGCTTCAAACACAGATCGAAAATATTCTTCTGTTCGTTTATTAGGTGGTACAAACTCCATTAACCTGGTTATTAATATTAAAAAAAAATAAAAATCATAAAAAATTCTATATTAATATAATAATGGATTTTGTAAAAAATAGAATGTTATCACACCTTCCTTCAATATTGCCTTTTTTTAAAGCAGTCATTAAACTAGATAAACCTTTCTCTTGTCTCCAAGTAACAAAGACTTCTAATAAAAAGTCTAATGCTAAGTTATCTTTGACAAGATGTTCATTGATTAAGACTGAAAGAACTGTAGGTGGAACAGAACCATTGGAAATCCATAAAGCTGTCATTCTAGCTAATTTTATTCTTTCTTTGGGAGAAAATCCCTTCATAAAAACCAATACTTTTTTCATTTCTTCTTCAAACATTTTTTCCAAATATTTGTAGCGTCTCATAAGTTTGATAAAAACCTGTAAATAAAAATAAAATTGTTTCAAAAACATGAAAGAATACAATGTAATATTTTTAAATATATAAATATAAAACAAGATATATTACTTGTTCAAAATTTCGCATAGATTCCATATCTTCTGGTTGTTCAAAAACGCAAGCAGTAGTTCTAACTGGTTTATCACCATCTTGAGCAATAGAACCGCCTGGAACCAAAAGCCCACCGGCTATTAGGATGTCAAATAGGTCCTCCCCATATCGGCGGTAATCTAATTTAGAGCCAGCTGCATCCAAGTACTTTGAAATTGCATCTAGGTCGTTACCAGCCTTTTCCAAACCAAGTAAAATGGCATCTCGAAATCCCATTGGGTCATACTTTTCTTTTTCATCTGAAGAAAGTTATTTAATGAATATTTATGAAATGTTGCATATGAAATTTGTGTATTTTTTTAAACATACCTCTCTTTCTGGTCTTTATACGTTGACCTGATAATATTGGTTTTTCTATTTTTTGACTCATACAATACCCTTCTGAAATTAAGAAAATTAAGAGAAATGTTATTTTTAAATTGCACTACTGATTTTTAACATGAAAAAGAGATTAATCTGTAATAAGTACTCTTACAGTTTAAGCAACATTTCTTTTATACATGTAAATATTTGTTTTATATTTTAATTAAATTAGTTCTTAATCAGTGTAACTGTTTCTAAATTGAAATATAAATTAAAAAAAGTAAAAACTGAAAAATCAAACAAAACTGCAACGCGACCATAATGTGCTGGCATTTGACTTCAAATCTGTTGGCACTTCTTTGACAAATGGCGACTTTCGTTAGATATAATGTGCTACACCAAAATTTATGATTGCGGATTACAAAGCAGTGAAGGTTATTATTTTAAATTTATATAAAAGACGTATATTTTATGTAGTATATTATTTCTAAGGTTAAGGTCAGGCAATGAGACCACGATGGCTGAAATCTATAAAAAAGTTGAATTGCTTGCAACGATCAGGTTATCCCAGAAGTGAAGAAGAATTAACCAAAAGATGGTAATTTTTATTTATTAACTTACTTAAATGCACGTACAACTGTAGAACTACCCCTTTTCAGGCGTATAAGGGCAATACGAAATATCTCAAAGAGGATTTTGAGTACTTGAGGTCAGCGAATCTGAAGAGAATCAACCTGAGGAGAAGCCACAATTGACAGGGAATAGATAGGATACTCGAATTTGCATTTCGTAACGCGTTTTTAACGCCATCTAAATAGCACAAACTAAAAAGAAACAGAGTGTAAATAAAATACATAGCGACATCTACGAAGAAGAATAATATTTATCTGTCAAGAAACAACGATGTTTATTTATAAAAACTTAAACTTATGGGCTCAGATATATTATAGAATTTATAATGACATGATAGGATAACATGTACATATAACAATAAAATAAAGTTACATATATTCTATAAATTTATAATGATAAATTTAATGTCATTTTATGTTATATGTATCTTTAAAGTCATTATTTCGAGAGAGCTATAGCTAAAATTAAAAGTAGTTACCCAAAGAATAAAGATTTGTTATGAAATGTTGTGAATAGATATTCTTATAATATAACATTATAATTACATATATACAGGCTAATTTTGGTAATTAAATAAGACTAATTCTCTTTCACATAAAGTTAGGAAAATTATAAATGGAAGAAAATTTGCCATTGTTTAATTGGTTTATGGTCCATAGACTTATACCGACAGATTGTGCACTTCAGAAAAGAAATTGAAGTTGGGATAAGAAGAAAAGGACAACAGTCATGGTCATAGTCTCTTTTTCTAACATATAAGTTAATAGAGACATTTCATATATGTACGAAATTCCTTTTCATCATCGCTTTTTGTATATATAGTTTCGTGCATTTGTTATTTCTAGCTCTTTTCCTTCGTGAAAGCTGAGCGAAAGAGCATCACCAAAGGATTATCTGCACTTTCCAATGTCGGTTTCAGCTCTTCTGAATATGCAATTTGCAAATATATTTTATACAAAAAAGATCATATCATGGACCTATACGTACACAGTATAGAATTAAAATATGAATTATATCTGAGATCTAAAAATTAAAAGGACAGAGCATAAAGCTTCATTATTGACGAGGGGACCAAGGTAATCAATCGAAAGAGGAATCGTGGTGGACGATTTGTGATTAATGGAGTAGTACGCATGCCCTACACTTTATTTTAAATAGATGCAGAATTACGATTTTTTTTATTTTTGTATTTTTACTATACTTACTTTGAATCCTTAGAATATTTCATAAATAAAGAATGTTAAGAAATCGATAATTATTAATAATAGAAACATCTATGTTAGAGAAATGTCAGTGAACTCTCAATGAAGAATGTTGGAAATTTTTAATGTATATTAAAATGTATATTCAAATTTTTAATGCATATTAAAAATTTCCAAAGGAATTTTTTTATTAGTGTAGACAAATATTTTAATATGTAATGCTTAATACTATTCACATTAAAGCTAAAATGAAATAAACTTTTTTAAATTATTAGTGCTTTTGTTTATAATACAATTACTTCAATTACATATGTGCATTAAGATTTATTAATAAAATTCTGACTAATATATCATATAATACAACTAAAATATTCTATAACATGTTTTAAAATATATATCAATCAATAAAAAATATGTAAACATATATATAAGAATCAATATATTATTTTTAGTTTTATATTTTAAAATTGTTGAGCCTTTAATATATTAAAACTTATATATTTAACAATTTCATGATAATGTAGATTTAAATTTAAATTTTTTCTTATTAGCAGTCACAAAAATTATTAAATAAAAGATAAATTTTTGTTAACGATTCAATAAAACTATTTGTTTAAATACCAAATAGTGGAAAACAGTTATTTATTGCATAAAAATCATAAGTTAATGCTCTATTATTTTTTTAAATATGTTTTATTTTAAAGTAATTGCACTTGTTTATACTATTTACTACAGTGCTACTTAATAACATTGTTAAAGAACTAATTTTGCTAGTGTTAAAACAACTTTGGATAATCATAAATACTTTAAATAATGATTGAAAATAAATATATATAAGAATTTATACAATTTTAAATAACAGGAAAATTTTTAAATACATCATTTGAATGTTGTGCTACTCATTAAGAATACATATACAGACACTGCTCGATAAACAGCTGAATGTGGGGCTTTAAAGTTAGCTACTTATCCAACAGTTAATGATACACGTGTTCTGATTTGCAATTAAACTATTATTAAATGTTGTTCTCCATGCTATATTAATGTCGGTCAGAGTTGATGAATTTGCATTTTTTTTTGAAACTCAGAATCAGCATAGTTACAACGTTCTTAATTTTAAATAGGAGTCTTAAAATTTATGTTTATGATATATACCATATATAAGTAAAAAAGTTACTTATTACATGTACATATTATTGTTTATATAATAGTTACACATATTATTTTATACTTTTTTACTTATATATATTATATAAAAATAGGAAACTATATTACAATATAGCTTTTTTAAATATTAACTTACAAATTTTCTTGTTGAATTTTTGATCAGTATTGACATTAATGTCAGAACTTTTTTTTCTAAAATAAATATATGAATTTCACATGTGTTACATATAATACATGTAAAATTATAGCGAATTCGAGTCATCATTTTGCTCCTTTTAAATTTATTTAAAACATACAGATTTCAGAATATGCAATTTTTTAAAATTTCTATAACAATAGTCTGTACTTATAAATTTGCTTGGTTTTTTAGTTAGTATTTTATTTTAAGCTAAACAAGACATGCTAGTGCTATTTTCATTTTAATTTCAAATAAAGTCGTATTTTGTGCTAATCTATGTTATTGATTTAATCTTAATCATAATTTTAATTATAATATTTCTAATATAAAACTATTTTAATACATTTAGTTATATGTTAAGTACAGCATTTAAACATTTTACGAGTAATATTCACGTTTTTTGTATATCACATAATTAAAACTGTAAAATGTATAAATCCAATTGAGATTTTATCACTGGAATGAGTTTGTAGTACAAGAATTTCTTCCAGAAACAAAGAGTGGAAAAATTCCAGTTACGCAGCTCTTGAATTTGAAAAGACATTACACTTAACAAGAACTTTTTGAATACTGACTTAAGACAACATGCGTGTTGGAAATTAATTTCCCAATTTTTAATTGCTTATGTCACAAAAACGAAATGGAAAATTGCGAAATAATACAGGAATGTTAGATTTAATTGATGTAGAGTATCTGCAGTTTTTGAGTTGTATAATATTTTCGAACATCTTGTATAAGTACTTACATACTTTTGAAAAAATATATTCACCGTTTCAATTTAAAAATTTCGTAAACGAAATACATTTCCAGCAAAAAAATCTTAGTTTGTTATGTATTATATTTTAATATCATCTAATATCGTGATGTTTTTTGCAATTATTATGCTCGTGTATCTGCTATCATTTATAAAAGAAAGCAGATTTAACATAACACGGTACTACTATTTATTTGCTTCATATTTACTATAATTTATAGGTGCATTATAAAACAATGTATTCACAGTTATTATTAGGCACTTTATAATTTTGATGAATGGGCCCCTTTTCTTGGAATATCACTGAATGGTTTCAGTAACGGATATAGAGACTGACTAATTTTGAACGATATAATATCATCAATCTTTTTATACTCAGTAGCATTTTCTGCATCTGAAGGTGAAGTATCTTCATTAGATTCCATTATGTCATTTTCTACTGATTCCGAGACCTTTACTGTAGAAATTACATGTACTGATAATTTATGTTGAATATCGCTTTGTAACATTTCCTATAAACAATAAATTTAATAATATAATGAATGTTTACTGTTTACTTAAATAATAGAATTATTATGTACGAACTTCATAAAACTTTAGTATTTGCTCTCTTGTAATAGTTCTTAAATATGCAACTTCTATATTTGCTCGATCAAAATTATATTGCTGTATTGAAATTTCATTCCAAAAAATTGCAGATAAAGTAGTAATCTTTTTAGGTTTTTCCAGACGCCGTACTGCCAATGATTCTTTATGTCTTTCGAATTCTTCATCTGACATTGATGATATGTGTTGCTAAAAAAAAATTAATTTTATGTAAAAATTACGAAAATATTTTTAGCAATATTTGCAATTATATTACTAACCAACATAGAATTCAAAAATGAATTAATTTTCTGTTCAACATATTTAGGATCTCTATCACTTTGAACTATAATTCTTAAACCTTGTGCACCATTTGTTCTTCGAACTCCACTATATACAATATATCCTAATTGTTCTTTAGTTCTCAATATGGTAAAACACGGTTCTGATATAAGTTGTGCTAAAAGTTCTAGTAACATATTTGACTCTGTTGACTGTAAGCCAGTTTGAAAATAAACTTGCGTACATGAACTTGAATGAAATTTATTTTGTACTTCGAACAAGAAGTGATGACCTAAAAAATATATTGGACATATTAATTCGGTATTAAGTATAGTGGATATATTAATCTATCCGAAATACAAATAATATATACAAAGCTATATTATAATTATTATTGTTTTGCTATACAAAACTTGTCAACTTGCAATATTTTTAAAATAAAAAAATTTTTCAAAATGATTTAAATCAAAAGCTATGCAAACTTACCATCTTCTAATTTGATTTCACGATATAAAATCAACTGCCTTGGTAAAAGAGGTGTTACATGAGGAAATGTGGTTGTTAATTTTGATTCTATTTTTCTGACTGTATCAATAGCTTCCGACATTGTCATATTACCATGTATTAAACATTCTATATGAATTTGGCTTAAAAATTGTGGGATAAATTGTTGAAGTCTCTCAGCCGTTAATTCTAAACAAAAGTGTTGCAATGAAAGAAAATTATAGCAATAGTATGTAATCTAAGTTAAATTGAAAAAATGTATTAATAATTAATTAACATTTAGTATATATTTATAATATAAAATAATTAATATTGCTAGGTAAAATGATATTTTTATAAAGTTGGAAATAGAAAAAAAAAGTTAAAAAAGATATTAACTTTTTAAATACTTTAAATTTCTATTATGTGTTTTTATTCTGTGTTTTGCTTCATTTAATATATAGAAATATAGATTTACCTTATATGTCATAATACTTTTAATAAAAATAAATGAAATTTTAATTTCAATTAATGTAAACTATTTTTTGTTATTCCTTCCTTCTATAATATAAAATTTATCAAAACAGGAAAAATGAATATAGTACTTAATAGTTAAATATAATTTAAACTATAAACATGTATAATTTAAATTATAAACTTACGCGAAGTTGCTTGTAGTAATTCATCCTTCATCCAAACTTGTTCAGATAATAAAACGGCTAGATAATAAACAGCATGTTGATATGGCTGTTCAGTTTCAAAATTTTTAAGACTTCTAATATGCTGAAATTTGTAAGAATTAATGAGAAATTCGGTCATCAATTAAGCAGATTTATCTAAATAAGTTAAATAATTCATACATTTTCTTTCCAAATTTCAAACCGTTTCGGATCAACTTTAAAATTAACCATTTTATCTATAATTTTTTCTAGTAATATATGCTGCTTATCATTATAACCACCAATACCTAACTGGAAAATATAAAGTAAATTTATTATATATTATATATGTAATATAACAATGATTTTGTCAAGTTTTGTACTTACTGTAATTCCGTATTTGCTATTGATAAGTTCCCATTTCAAGCCAGCTATATTAGCAGCATACGAATATTCATTTAAAGCGTCTCGAAACAGTAGTACAAACATACAAGATAAATTATAGTTAAGAGGATCCATGTATACCAGCGGGCTATAAAATATAATAAACATATAGAAATCATATACATATATATAAAAAAAATATAGTATGCAGTGATTACTATCATATAATGGAAAGTTAATATTGTCAAAGTTATAAGCAATTCTCTATTGATCAAAACAAATAATAATCTTTTTGCGTGCTCTTTTTAAGTATGAAAATTACAGATTATTTTATCATTTATAAAGAACTCTATACTTATACAATATTCGCTTTAAAGTGTAAATACTTCGGGTCTGTAGTTTTATAGAAGAGGTACTACATTCTTTGTAATGTGCCGAACGTAGAAAAGGAGGTTTGTCAAACTTTTACCGTCGCATTGGCCTCATTTTTTAAAGCACCAGAAACTAACGAATCAATTGCTTTCAGCAAAAAGAGAACTGTTTATAACTTCGACAACATTAATTTTCTGATTTATGTACAAAAATTATTTGTTCCTTTTTGTGAATACTATTAAATTTTATAGAATTGAATTTTTAAAAATATTTTACCAAGTAAAATCCATAGATAAATTAGCTTTAGGTAACAAAAATTCATCATCTTGTTTAAACCATAATCTTATTAACGGAGTATCTTCTATGATTACTGGAAACTTGGTTACCTGTACAACATAAAAGTATTTATTTTTATTAACCGACTTCGAAAAAGGAGGAGGTTACTCAATTCGATCAGTATATATATATATCTTTTTTTTTATTATTATTATTATTATTATTTTCTATGTGTGCCCGCCGATTACGCCTAGCTGGATACACCGATCGGAACGAAACCTTTTGCATCTGGTAGGTTCTGACTCCCCATTGGTACCATTATCAAACAATTTTTCATTTTTTAATTGCAAAGTGTTGTTATTGCAAAAAAACCGGCAACTTTTGAAA